TCTGTTTTTCTTGCATGGAAGTATTTTCTTAAAGAGATGTATTAGATGTAAAATAAACTCTTTTGTACTTCTATTTCTAAGAATTTCTAAGAGATTCTAATTATGACTTCTGCCGTGTAGAAATTGAGAAATTTAAGAAAGAGTACATCCAGGCTTGTGTATCCGAGACTCCATAACTTACAGGAGGATTTAAAGTTGACACGGTCCGGAATTCTTAAGAAAAGCTGGGTAACCGTATTAATCGAAAGAGGGATGCAGTCGCGTGAACCTCTATAATCCATTGAAACATCGATGTTTTTCAACTAGAAGCACGTTTTCGAATTATAATTTTGGAATTGTTGCAACACGATGTTATTGATGGGCGAAAGAGAAAAAAAGCTTGTAGGAAGCCAATGAATCGTAGGGATTAGAAGTGTTCCGGAAATACGTAACACATGGAGAAGATGTTCTTAGCATTTCTGATACTGTCGCTATTGCAGCTAAATGATTACGTAAAATGAATACTGGAACAAACGAATTGTCTCTCTCGCCAATTTCCGACTTTGGCTCGTGAAGGATGCCTGGTGCATGCATAACGTTACTCCACGGTGGAAGCCTGAAGCGTAGTTTTTGCACGTGCAATTTTTTCGTGGAATAAAATAGACGAGTTTACGGAACTTTATTTCTTTTTATGCGTACCACCGCAGAGAGTAATAAGATTGCAAATGCGAATTAAAATGCGAGGGCTTATTGTAGACCCGTAAAAATCCGCGTTGAATATATCTACATATTTTCGTTGATTTTCGCTTCCGTTTTACTTATACGTCGAAATAGTTCGAAAATGCTTTTGCATCCCCGAGAGACCTTCATGCAAAAATAATTTTAAAACCGATTGCCACTTACAGCTAAAAATTATTTTTTTCACAAAAAACCTTATTTTATTAATAAGTATATAGATATAACATTATGTATATTTTTTATATTAAATTTTTTTATATATAATTGCTATATAAACAGACTGTCTCACACTTTTCAATCTTTAATTTTAATTACAACTTTTTTAATCAAATAAGAATCAATTCTTTTTGTTAAAACAAAGAACAAAAAAAATTGTCGCTTATTTAATAATATAATTTTCCATTTTTTAACGTTACGTTTCTTTTATGAGTTTTAAAATGCTTTTGAAATACGAAGTTGAAATTAGTTGAATAACCTTTTTGTTCCTAACTTGCAAAAAATTTCCTTTTTCAAGTAACTTATAACTCGCAAGTGGCGCTTCAACATTTTTGCTGATTTTGTTGCTTGCAATATATAATACTATACTAATATATGTGTATTAGTACATATGTATACATATAAATACGTAGATATAAAGTTACGTAACTGCAAAAACATGACATAAGCATTTCGATGATGTGCAATACGGACGTTTTGATTTAGTATTTAATACAATATGTATTTTGCTAAATAATATGATATAATTTATTACAGCAACTATCCGTCAATTAGGTATGTTTTTGTTAGATAATTTTACAGACTAATACAGGCGAAGAAATCTATCGTGAAAAAATTCACTATAATATTAAATTTATTGAATTTGTTATTAAATTTAAGATTGCAAGTTTTAGATTATTTTGCGTCTGTATATGAATACCAAAAACTGCAGAATAGAGTTAGGCTGTCTTTTAGCTTGTGGAAGCATTCTAAAAATGTAAAAGTACAAATGTGAAAAGATGCAAATGTACTTTCTCTTTCTAAATTACGCCATGAGTCGCAATTTTGTGAGCAAACTTCAAATCAGATTTGCATAAATATTTATTTTACGTATTCATTTTTGGTTGAATTCATAACCGTAATGCAGCTTAAAGTACTGTTAAAGGTGGAGAAAAATTTTGAAAATTTAAAAAAATGCTTTTTTCCGTTAAATTTTTTCTACCTAACTTTAATCTTTCTACATACACTATATTTTTCTTCTCTATATTTGTGATAAATTTGTAAAAAATAATTTTTGCGAATATGGAGTTTTTATTGTGCTTGAAAATATTTCTGTATAGTAAACGCGAACTCCAAGCTGTATCTGTAACAGCTAGATAATAAGGCAAATATTTTTACTGGCTGACGCTCTCTAAAAGCAGAATATCACGTGTCGTTGAACATGAATAATGCAATGATGGATCACTTTGAAAGGAATCTCTTAAACTTATACAAGACGAATAAAAGCAGCAGTAGCATTTCGACAGAATGACACGTAACTGTTCTGAATTTTCCCAGATTTCTCGTTCTCAATTCATAAGACAATGTCTTCACGATTGATTGATCGTCAGAATTCCAGATTCTGAACGCGTGATAATTAAATTTACGTCAACGTTAATACGTTAATATATAGTAACACTTATAACTATACATTATTCCCTTAATAATACATTATCATTAAGGGAAAAGTTTTAGATATAAGTTTATTAAAGAAGTAATCCGCAGTTATATATAGAAGAATAGAATATATAACATAAAATATTTGTATATTTTCCTCTCCGTTTATTTAGTTATTTATAGAATTACGTTTTATTTAGCAAGTACTCTGTTTATGGAGTATTTAGAATATGATAATGAGCTACTGATAGAATTCCGTCGGAGCTTAAGTGAAAATGATAGAAAATAACTTTTGATATTTTACAATGCAAATTTGATGTTATTGCAATCTATTTCAAATTAGAACAAAGATATTCTTAACAGTACAATTGAATAAACGATAAACAATTTGATCCGGACACCCTATAATCGTTGCTATTACGTTTTCTATTGAAGGGTTAAAAAGGTCGGTCTTAAAACACAGGTGCAAAGCGCGTTGAGATAAATGGCAGCACGCAATTATCGAAATCACATTTCACCAAGCATTTCAGGAAACTCGATCCTATTCTATCGCGCGCGAAAATCGAGTTCGATCCCGTGTAAAGTGTTCGTAGAACGTGTAAAAAAAAGCACGATATTCTGTTTCACGGCATGGGAAAACGATCCTACGAGGACACTCGTCTTCTTCACTGGTTTTTATAAAGTGCGATGAAGAGGGCAATAACTTTTCTAACATTTACTTCACAATTTTACAAAGCAAATTGTTTGCACGTACTTGATATTTTTGAAAACTTTTAAATAAAATAAATATAGATTACGTAAATGAATGATTTGTAATTAGTAGCAATTATTTTAATTTTAGATAGAGTCATCACAACAAAAATTTTAATTCAATTAAACGCTAATCTTTGACTGCGTTTAGACATCAATGCAGAAAACGTCAAATAATTTTAATTAGAGCGATTCTCGTTTTGTGAAATTTTTAATATAAAAAGCAATATTAAAAATCTAACGTAATCTTTCTTAAAAATTTAAACATCTAGCTTGACTTACACAGAATTAAGAATCATAAGATGTTGAAAGTATAAAGTATTTGTAAAATATTGTAAAGTTTTGTAAAATTTAAATTAATAATGGAACAAGGCAAGGAGCCAAGCTAGATCATAACTCTAACTAATTATATTATTACAATAATAATTACATACGGTAATTTAATATCATAATTATATTATTACAATAATAATTAACATACGGTAATTTAATACCAACATGGTATTTATGATTGTGATAGTTTATTATATAACCAATGGTATTAAACTGTATATAATTATTATTGTAATAATAAAATTAGTTAGCACTAAGATCTAGCTTGAATCCTTGCCCTGTACTATTATCAATTTAAATTTTAATTCTTGGAGCCGGAATGACTTAATTATTGTTTTAATTTATTCTATTTGTTGTATTTACTATCGTTTACATGTATGAAAAAATTGTTTATGTTATAACAATCGTTTATACAATAAACCTCCAGGAAGAAAGATTTCTTTATGTGACGATACACTTTACATTGACGCGCGCAACGAAACGAAGCGCAGGAATATTTTTTTTTAGATAGATGATACGTACCTTAACGCAATTTGTGTTGCAGTAACTCTATCGGAGTGACGTAAAAGTGACCTATTCAGAAAGCTATTTTTTAATTATGCAAATAATTGAATTTAGTCTTTACAAATCCACTTTGATTTTTAAACGTTATTTTTAAACGCTTATATACTATACAATTTACATGACACACATATTATTCGCAAGACCGTAATTTGTGATAAGAAAAGTGAGAAAAGATAGATAAAACCAATAAAGATAAACTACGATATTTTTAAGGCTGTTGAAGGGAAGAGATAAACTTTATTATATTGTGTGCGTAGTTGCTCTAAATAAAACTACATTGATACCGGTAAAAAAAACTCTCTAGACATTTCAGGTTTAAGTCCAATCCATAGATATGAGATAAAAATTCGTAATTATTTTTGTACACTGACAACTAAAAGCGAAGCTATACATTGACGTATCGAGAATATTATAAACATTTCGAGCTTAAATTTAATCTGTGAGGTAAAAGTTGAACTTACGCTTTTTTTTATACATTTATTTAACACGCAATAAATTGTCTACCATGACTTTAGCGACATTAGGCTGGCGCTGATACAAGGATAGACCTAATTCGAACTCACAGAATAGAATAATTACAGAATATAATTATAATGTATAATTATGAAATTAACAAGAACAATAGTTTATGAAGCTTTATTACGCGCATCTATCTTTGTTAAGTTACGACACGATTAAGTGACTTTAGGAAAGCCACTTAAGCACGTTTTGGCTTAGAACATATGATATATCATCAGTGTATCACACAAACTGTGCAATCTGTCTTTATCTCATCACAGCCTACGTCGTGTTCTCAATCTATCCCCGCGAAGAGCATTTCCACTCTGTTCTTGAATTATTGAACTGCAAAGCAATCAAATATCGGGTAAACTCCGTTCGCTTCGCTATCTCCTTCTTCTGTCCGCTTACTATCGCGTGTCGACTTCAATTCCGTCGCTAGAGCAAATACGAGATGAAATAAAGTGCGTTTTTTTGTTTTTTTTTTCTTTTCCGATTGATTGCAGTCCGATGATCTGGGTATCGCAGTATCGCGAAATGAGGATGACGAGCTACGGCATCGCGCACGATATCGTTACTAACGTCGGGAGAGATCAGCAGTCGGCGAGTCAGGTGAATCGCGTGCCGGTGTGCCTGACGCAGGCCGACACGGTCGCCAGCGTGACGTTCTTCCTGCTGCTGGTACTGCTCTTCTTCATCGCGCCATTTGTGATACTCGTGGTACTGTATTCGTTTATCGTGAGTCACCTGATCCGCGACTCGTCGACGACGTCTGGCGGCACCAGCGACTCGTATCATAGCCGGGCCAGGAGACAGGTGGTGTACATGTTGCTGACGGTAGTCGTGAGCTTCTTCGTGTGCCTGTCGCCCTATCGGCTCCTCATCTTCTACATCGTGATAGCGCCCGCCGAGCAAATAGCCGCGATCGATTACGACACTTTCTTCTGTCTGCTCAACTTCTGCAGGATCATGTTCTATCTGAATAGCGCCGGCAATCCGATACTGTACAATCTAATGAGTAGCAAGTTCAGACGGGGTTTCCTGAAACTATGCGGTTTCGAGAGCGAGAGGAGCACGGTCACACACAGGAGCACGGTCATCGGTGTGAGGAGGGTCACGACGAAGCAGCAGGAGGACCTAAATCAGGAAGAGAACTTTTTATAATCGAATTCAGTGACACAATGCGACTGTGATTCACAATTCCTACGTACAAAAAAAAAAGATTAATGACATATTAGTTAGAATATTAGATAAGAATTAGCATTAAACGTATTTCTTTCAAAATTGGAGAATCGCTCAATCTGCATAGTATATTTAAAGATATACTAAAAGAAAATATGGAAGTGTTGAAAAAAATGTGTATGCAGTGCGAAAGGATATAAAGACATTAAAGAGAATTATACTTATACTGGCTATAAGAGATAAATGTTAAAAGTATTGGAAAATTATACTTACTTATTACAACAATGAATATAGGAACAATGAACAATTATATTTGTTATATAAAGAAACATGGAGATATCGAAAAACTATACATTTTTGTAGAAGAAGCATTAAGGAATTATGATTTGTATATATTTCTCATTGTACTAAATTTTTGGAAGAAGCTTAAGGTTTCAATAGAGAGAAGAGAAGTGCTGTGTTAAAGATCGGAGACTTGTACGAGAAAAACTTTTGCAACATTCTATGAGATATTAAACTTTACGAACTTTCATGGAAGTTGCGCTCGAGATTGAAACGAGCGATCTACGCGGATGCACTCGGAAAGTTTCAACTTTAAATGGTGTGATCTCATTATCAGTATTGCAGACGATTAAATGGGATATGAAGCGCTAAATTTGTATCAGATGTTACACAAGCGTTTCTTATATTTCTTTGACGCAAAGATATATAAAATTATCGGAACATCTTGTGTCAAGTGATTTTTACCATCCCTCTTCCTGCAGCTTTGGCCATTTATAAGTTCTTTTAAATTGTTAATGCAATATCTGTTCAATATATTTTTTATAATTTATTTGAGCTAAGATACTTTTTGCAAAGTGTTATATTTTATAAATTCTAGACACGCTATTTACCAGGCAACATTTATGTTATGGCAATTTACTGGAGCTTTGCTATATGATGAATGTACGCGCGTATCCGCAATAATCAATCTATGTCTTTTTTAACACTTTCTAGTCCCATACTGCTTATGGTAACCTACGAGTTAGAAGAGAACGTCGACGGTACGTACACACCTACTTGTACGACACCGGCATCGACGACCTGGATGACGGGCTTCATCCTGACGACGATCATCGTGTTCTTCGTGATCCCTCTGCTGATTTTAATAGTATTATATACGGTGATCGCCAGACACCTGATGGCAAATCCGGCGATAAGTCGTGGACCGGCGAACAATCTGCTCAAGTATCGCAAACAGGTGGTCATGATGCTGGCCACGGTGGTCCTGTGCTTCTTCCTGTGCTTGCTGCCCTTCAAGGCCTTCACCCTCTGGATCATCATCGTACCGCCCAAAATGCTCGTTTCGCTCGGAATTGAAGGCTACTTCAGCCTCCTGTACTTCTGTCGAGTGATGCTGTACCTAAACTCGGCGATCAATCCGATTCTCTACAATCTGATGTCGACGAAATTCAGAGAGGGTTTCCTCAAGCTGTGCGGTTTAGGACCCGCCAAGAGGAAGAAAAAGAAGACGTCGGATCGTGCGGGCACCTACACAACCGGCTCGACCAATTGCAGCAGCAGTCACTCGGACTTCTGGCGACGGCACAGCAGCAACAGGAGCTGCAGCGTGAAGGTACCATGCAACGATCACACGTTCGCGGACAAACAAATTAAATTGCCTTTACTCACCGTTGTGGGTGGAAATATCGTTAGGAAGAAGCAGGAGAGTTACGTTTAATTCCTTATTAGGCCAATTTGTGTTAATTGTACATATTTCTTGAATTCTTCATTTTTATATCGGCCTAGAATTATCATTATTGAATTTTTAATCACTGCTTATCCGGACAATTAACTATTTTTATTGAGTATTCTGATGTGCAGTGATCAATTTAGCAAATTATAGTTCGTTAAAAGTTCGCACACAGTTGAGTTGTGCAATAATAAGCTGTTTTTTTTCTCTTGCCTTATTTATACGTACTATAGCTCTCTCTTTTCGTTGTACTTTATTCGAGAGGATCCCCACGTGATTAAATAATTACAAAGAGATATTTATTAATAATTAACAATTAAATATTTAAATAATTAAATGTTTTGTAGCAATAGTTAAGAAATAACTGTTAACTGAATGTTTATTAAATGTTATTATGTCAATCGTGTTAACTTAGGCATTAACAAGTCCAAATGAGATTAGAGTACAATAATTATATTAGACACCCACTATATATCTCAAGATTGCGATAACTTTAGTTCCTCAATTTCATACGTGGTATGTTATATTGTTGTATATTCATGTAAGCTATGTACAATCGTGGACACATCGGTTGCGACACTTGCTTTTTTATAGATTTCAAAACGCACTAATATTTTGCAAATGCGGACCACGATTGGTGTTATACTGTCTCTAGACTAAAGATAGTAACATCGTGGTTCGCATTTGCAAAATATTAGTTATCTATAAAGTATATGTTATGTATATTAAATATAGATTAGAAACCTATAAAAAAAAGTGTCGCAACCGATGTGTCCACGACTGTACACGGTAAGTAGAAGCAGTTCTTTCAAGAAATTCACATAGAAATGGCGATTTTCGTACAGCGATTTTGTTCCTAAACGCTTTAATTTCGTGATAAATTTCATGTAGATTAAATTAGTAAACATGTGTAGATGAAAGGGAACCAGCTCTGAAGCAAAACTGCATATAGCGGAATTATTTTTAGCGATTTCTTTGCTTTTTTTGCATTAATTCACATTGAGATTGTTTTGTTGTATTTTAGGGGTCAGAAATTCGCTATTCCGCTGATGGAATCAGCGATAAAGTTCGACGACAGAAGCAAGATATTGTTAAAAGTCGGCACAAAAGCGAAAACGAAATCACAAATTTTGTACATAGTTCAGAAATTAATTGAATTTTAAAACGTCTCACCTTGTTATTGAAAATGGTATGTATGGTAGGTATTTTCTACGATGCTGGCATCTGAGAGGAGATACTTTTTAAAGAGAATATAGGGATTTAGACATGTACAGTACGATTTCTTTGCGAAGTTATCATATACTAGATTTTTAGCGAAGTATTTAAAGAACTAAGAAGCTTCTGTATAATTGTTATAGAAATGGTCATATAATTAACGTAAAAATGTTTGTCTCTTAACATCAGCTGTGTTTTCTAAGGTAAGATTGACATGAATATAATTATAATATTTTCATAGTTGTGTTAATGATAATATAATTCAACGAACACAGTCGCTCTTTAAAGGATTACATTTTGCTCGTCATTAGTATCTTAGTCATTAGTATCTAAATCCATTTTTTTTAGATAAGTATGCTTTAATATAAAAAATTAACGCATCAATTTTTTTGCGATAATTTAAATATTTATTGTTATTTGTTATAATTACATTACAAGAACTATACTTATTTATAAAATTTTTTAGGACTATTATTTTAGGAAATTTTTACGTTATTATTATTATTATTATATATTGTATTATTATTTATTATTATATTATTTCAGGTCAAATTGATCATTACTTAATACCAGTGAAAACTTTCTAATATTTTATACAATAATTTTGCCAATATTATACTTTATGCTCATAAAAAACAATAAATTATTAATAAAATTAATTAATATCTAATAGTTATAAAAAAATCAAAATTTAGTATCAGTGAATATGTATGTACATCCCCATGCTAAGTAGATTAAAATTATGTTAGTATCAAATATTACAGGAAATTAATATCTGCATGATACATAAGTCAAGACTGTTAAGTCAATTCTGTTATAATGCGCATATGAGAACAGAGATAATATTCAGTAACATCCGAATATGTGTGACTGGTTATATCTAAAAATTTATGAATCATAAATAATTGATGAATATAACAGGGGTCCACAAATTGAACGTGTTTAATTGATACTCACCTATTCTCTACTGAATCGTCTTTGTGCAAACATGTGCATTAAATTATTATTAAAAAAACAGTGTACTTGTAAAATCTTGTACAAAAATAATTCAAGAATTCTTTATTTTCTCTCGTCAATGAATTCTAAAGTCAATAATATCCAAAATCGAAATCATGAAATTTTATTGCGAAGTACGATATATAAGTTTATTTTTGTTAAATGCTAAATATGTCAGGTCAGTAATTAGAACTATGTAAATTATCCTTCAAAACGAACTTTAGTTTCACTTTAAATTCCACTAGAAATTTCATTTCCAGCCAAATTTACTTCATTTCCGAAGTCAGATAACTGTGGAATTAATTCTCTTATAATTAAAGCAAACGTTCGTACAGAGTAACAAAAATTATCTTCTATTTTATCAAGAACTGGCAATGAGAGAAAATACATGAGTACTGATCTCAAATATATTAGAAGAGTTTTTTTAAGTTAATGCAAATTAAAATTTTTTAAAATAATCTACACGTTCGCATGTTAACAATTCTCTCGCAAATACTTAAGTTAATAACTCAAATTAATTGTTTAAGAACAAAAATACGCAAAATATTATATTAACATTTAACATATGTGATCAGAATTAAACAAAATAACATAATCATGACACGAGATTTAAATAATTACGAGATATAAAATATTAATTTTTAAATTAATTTCTGTTGTACAAATATATATTTATCTTCATGAGAGATATATTGTCCACTTTAAATAATTGTTAAATTATTTCATCAATTATTAATGAGAAAGAAACTTGTCATCAATAAGTTTATTGTTTGTAATGAAGTAACTAATGCAAAAGTGTTTTGTTTTAATTGTAAATCATTTCAATAATTTACAAAATTATACCAATTTGACGTTTTTTGTTGGAATTATTTTAAAAGTATACGGTGATGTTTACGTCGTTAAGACATGTTACAGCTGTTTATAAAATATAGAATATTAAAAAATTGTTATAAAGCAGATATGTAGAATATTTAGATATATTTTATGAAAACAATTAATTAATTAACCGATTTATATGTATTGCATAATATAATAAATATAATATAAATCTGAACTGATTTTAAAAAATATTAATACAAACGCGTTATGCATTAATTGTATACATTAATTCGTATTGATCTTATTTTTCATTTTTATCTCAAGATAAGCTGCTCATATACTATTAGAATGATTAGAGAGCAATACGTTCTTTATAATGGAATAATCAGTTAATTAAAAAAAATTTCGAGAGAATTGTAACGAAATGCGATTAATCTCTATCAAATGAGAGTATAATGTGCCATGTATGATTATAAGTTTCCGATTGTACAACTTCGTTTATTCCTATTTATTCATAATTATTAAGATATTGTTAAATTATAACATAAATTAAAGTTGAAATGTCATTGTGTGCGATTTGTTATTACATTTCCTATAGAAACATAGATCGTAAATGAAAAAAGAGGCACTTTATTTTATTTATTAAAAGAGTATAGTTATAAAAATATGGGTAAAAGCATTTGTAAATATGTATCTTATATAATACAAACAATGTTTTCATTAACAATTTAAGGTATTTGTTCGCACGATATATTAATTTCTCGACGGAAGCAATCCATTTATATTACACTACTATGACTAGCTTTATACGTAATTCTATCCATTCACTCGTCACTCGGTGCGTTTTACAAAAATGATATCGTTCGCCAAGTTGTCCGGATGCTTCACGAAGCTGTAAACGTAGTATCCTCGACGTTCCATCATATCGATCAGGTATTTTCGCCCCTTTGCATTGTGTATGTACTCCACGGAGAGAGCCTGAAACGTTACGTATATCGCTCGTGATCACATCTCGTGCCGCAGAAATTACGTTTCGGAGAACAAGAGATACGTCGCGAGTAATCCTACATCAATAATCGCGCGAGCGGATGCGTGGAGATTCTTAGAACGAACCGCGGCAAGTGCCGTACCTTTATGTCCACCTCGTCAAACGGTATCGTTTCTAATACGTCGATCTCGTTGCCTTCAATATCGAGGCTAAAATAATCGACCGTTTTAATTCCCAATGCGGCGATGTAAAGTGTCAGTGGGAGGCACTGCACGCGAACGTGCTCGCCCGTGTAAGCCACGTCGGGCGTGTTCGCGGGCGTGTTCTCCGTCGTGTTCCCGGGCTCGTGCAGACGGCCTACGTTCCTGGCCATGAGAAAGGACGCCTGTAATTTCGAGAGGTTTCGTCAGACTTTTCAGAATTTCCGTAACGACGGTCTAATATGCCGAGCCGAAATTGGTGTTCGAGTTTCTCAACAGCCCTGTCTCAAAATCACTGTTAACGATGACAAATTACCGTCACTCGTTATTCCTTACCAGCGTGGGACGCTTAGTGACGCTAAGACACGTCGGCGAGAGATAGGCCCTTCTGTTCTTTTGCAGCATCTTCGTGAAGTTGATGGGATCCGCTTCTATCAAGAGACCCGACCATCCATTAAATCGCTCCAGATACAACGTGTTACTACGCACTTCCCCGTCGTATGCGCCACACTCTATGAAAAATCCATTTTTCTGTAGAGAGTAATAAATGAAATTTGGTATTTATTAATAACGCAGAGAAAGAGAGAGAGAGAGAGAGAGAAAGTCGATCGAACATAGCTATTGCGTATTCGTTGGATCTTGAATTCGTTTCTTGCATTTTTCACAAAATTGTGACAACCATTTTTCTACCTTATCGTGGAAAATTTGACGTATCGCAGTCGACTGTCCCATCGACGGATCTTCCATGTCTGGTTCTTGAAGCATATACGACTCCTCCGCAGTATGATTCCATATTATCCAATTTTGACGAATATCAGTCAATAAATCGTGAAAAGCTTCCGGGCTCAAGGCGGATATGTTCTTCTTGTTGTACCATTTTTCACCTAAAATTATTGTTATCAATTATTAGTTTTTCTTTCAACTTATTTTTAATTAAAAGAAATATAGATTGTATGTATCTTCTTACTATTCAGAATAAAACTTTTATACCATTACTTTTATATTAAGCAAAATAGAAACTAAATTTGAATAACAGGGACAGTTTTAGTTTGAACTTTCGTAGTCCCGATTAGATTTCATATTAATGTCTTTTATTAAAACTTCTATTTTCTTTAATTAAAAAATTAATAGCACAAATCTATTTAACTTGCTTCTGAAATAGATATATATTTTTCTAAAAATAATTTATAACTAAAGAATGTTTTAATACCCACATGATATTTTAAATAGAAAGAAACTCGTCTATCAATTTGTAAAGATCTTCTCTGGTTTTAGAGCAAATAGTTAAAATGGGTCCACATGACTCATTGTTAGCGTTAATTACGTCACTATGTGTACGGATCGAACCTTTAGTCAAATGTATTGCTTGAAAGATAGAATAAATTTCAGATAAGCAAAAAAGTAGAATTACGCAATTTTATATATTTATATTGCAAATATTTTGCAATGTATAATGTCACACAATTTCTTAAACATCTAATAAATTTATTAAATGATTTGTCTTATTTGGTTAACAAATTACATAAACAAATTAATAAAAATATACATGTTATAATACACGAACAAAAAAAAGTTATATGTTTTATACGTTTAGAATTCTACTATTAATAAACGTCAATCAATGTCAAGATTCAAAATTTTATTTGCAATGATAGACACGGGCTTTTATTATCTCGTATTTTAAATACATTGTTAGCAATTCTCAATACTATCATTGTTTTTTGCGTAATTGAAGCGCATATAGACTAACGAGCTGTACCTTCGATTATCACGTGATGCGAATGCTGTCTATCTAGATCACATTTCGCTAATTATATTTACGAGTATCGTGATCTAATAAGAGAGTAACAATATGATGCAATTACTGATTTCCCAATGTTTAAGTACAATTTTCTCAAAATCAAGATTTTTATGAAAACAAATGTTATACTCTATATTTCTAATTTATTTTTTTACATATCAGTTTTTTCTGCTTACAATAGGAAATTATACAATAGGCTGTTTTATATATATATATATATATATATATATTTTATAATTATATTTTATAATTTTATCACTTCAACAAATGCGTTGTTGAAACGATAAGATTACAAATCGGTATTTATTAAATACTGTCTATAATTAAAAACAAATTAAAACTACTTACCGTTGGAAAAGTTGTACCATATGTCCCACACTGTAACAATGACAAAAAAAAAGAATTTGTTGTACTGTCTTTATGAAATAAAGAATTATTTCTTTACATAGAGAAATAGAAATATATACTATATTTGAAAGGTTCTCACCTTTTTGATAGAGGTCTGCGGGTACATCATCCAGGTACGTATCCCGTACTATTGTGTCGTTTTCGATAATCGGATGCCTCGTGAGAATTACAACGAGAACGACGCTACACGAAGTCAACGCTATTAGAAGAATCCACTTTCGGCGCGAACAATAGCTTGAGATTCGCCTGTGCATTTGTTGATAGTTATACGCGTTGGCCGGCATTTCACTGAGAAATTTCAAGAGCAATGCCGAGTCGTTCCTTACGTAGGCACGAGTGACTACTATACGACGACTCGACGTCAGAAGGTCGCAGGTTCTTGCTTAAGCGCGGCTTATCGTCAATGTTTAAATATCGTTTACGCGTTGCCGACCTTTTTGCCGAGAGAAAGAATTAACAATGACATAATCAGCTATTCTAAGAATTTACATTCTTACGCGTCACCGGATATAATAATAAATATAGCGCTCGCAAAAGATTCCCCATTTGTTTGACGAAATATCAAATTGTTTGCTTATATAACACTATACTTACAACCCGACCTTCGCGAGAATTACACGAAATTGGAGACCGCGGATTGTATAGAATGTATAGAATTAATTACGAATGTATAGTATTAATTACGACCTAAAACCTGTTGCGTTTTACAATACGTTGCGAGCTTACGATAATAGGTAAGATAATTATACAGGCATGTAACGTGTGGAATACTATTCTACTTGTAGAATTTAAGTCTGCGTTTTTTTTTTACATTAAAATGGATCTTCGAAAATGGATCGCGAAAATGGAATGGAAGTGAAATAAAATACGGCACAAAAGTATAGACTCTGAACTGACAGACGACCGGAAGATCCTTAACACAGCGCCCGTGAAATATCCGTAATAATAGTAGTATTATACACATGTGTTATATACACATAGCTGCTAAAACAATGGTGTGTATAGAAACAACATCGCAAATGTTTTCCTTTCAAATTGCGGTCCTTTAACTCTTAGACGAAGGTACGAATTCTGTAGTAGAAATTCAATACGCATTTCCAAGATAATAAATTAATGATTAATTATTATCGAAAATCCATGAAATAAAAAAGTTGACAAAGGCTGCTAACAAAACGAATAATAATCGACTAATTAAAATGATTCATTGAATCTAAAATGCAAATCAAATCATAAAAGCTTTTCATATATATTTTTCATAGACGTTAAACATATAAAAATTGCATTAATATTGTACATAGTTATGAATAAATTATGCGACAATTTCTATTCATATTATAATAAAGCGCTGCATGCGTTTCGGATTATCTCTATTACTCGCCTCATCCGCCTTTACTCCACATAATCAAAAGTATAATGTATAACTTTCAACTTTTTCCCGGACTAAAGTGCTTTTAAGCGACAGCGTTTGCGGATTCTATCAAAAACTGATTAACGTAACATGTTCCCGCTGCATTTTTCGAAACTTCCGTTTCGTTCGTCCTGCCAAGATTGCCATTGTTTGTCAATCACTGTTCGTCTGAGCGGTCGGCGGTACTTCTGTCAAATCTTTGGTTCATGCGCTGGTCAGTTTAGCAGGCACCAGTTCGTCAAAAGGGTTAAAATTCCAAAATGACCGACGGAACGCTCGCGTAATACACAAGGAACTTTTCGTTTCGTGGCACAATGTACGCGCGCGTAGTACAGCAAGCCCGAAGCTGCAGTGAATCAGAAGAACGCATCGCGCGGCTTCGACACGCGAGGTAAATTTAGCATGGGCGTTTACGTGAGCGCGTTGTGTCACGGTTCGCGAAGCAACGGCGAACGACGAAACGATGTCCGAACGCAAATGATGACACCTTCGGACATCTCCGAAATCGAATGCGCGGAATGAGCGAGAGAGGCTCGCCGCCCGCTATCGCGTGCTCCGAGTCCCGACCACGAATATCATCGAGTGCCATCGGCACTGAGCTTGAAGATGCTCTTTAAAACAAGTCTGCTGTGTGGATGTACATCTGTCTGTATGTGTGTGCTTATACAGGGTGTCCTGAAATAAATGAGTTTAATTTAAATCTTCGATTTGTCTGATAGCTGATTATAATGGACGTCGAATCCATTCGAATTTGACATGGTTTCTAGATATTGTAGGCTAAATTTCTAAATTAGAATTTGATGCAAAATCCTTTTTTTTCTCTAAGAACATATTGTTAATATTATTGAAAAGAGAAAAGAAAATATATTTACAAAATATAAATAAACGATATTTATTCTTTTTCTACTATATACATTATATAATAATTTTTTCATTGATGATGCATAAATTTTTTCGTAAGGTTGATGTAGAAAATAAAACAAATAATTAATGTCTCGAAGAAATTAACATTTCGTTAAACAGGGATAGATTTCGAGACAAACTGTAAAAATTGGACAAACAATTTTTCTTTAAAGAGGCTATTAAGAAAAATAATTATTTATCTTTAAAACAATTTTTGAACATTAACACGTTATTATTAAATTTTTTTAAATAAATTTGTATAAACTGAAACATTTGATATTAATTAAAAATTTAATATTATATTTGCTATTTAATAAAATTTAATAAAAAGCATTTTAAATCTGCATATAGTATTGAAACTTCATACACCTAATACAAATTTTAATATTATATACAAGAACAAAAAATTCGAGAAAGAAAAACTATTTGTTTATCTGTTCGATTTGTAGTGAAATCGCAAAGTGGCACACATGTGAACGTATATCTGCTATCAGTTACGAAAACAATACAATCTCCCACACAACGTGTATGTGGATTACGAAGATTAACTTTTTCCCAAGATGGACCGACTTATCTGTCATTAACGAATGTTATTACTGATATTAGACGTCGGCGTATGGTCTCTGCTAAAAGCGAAAATACAATGCATAAAGAATGAAAACTTCTTTATGTAAGAAAGACGCGTCGCGTGTCTTCGCATATGCATCGTGATGACAAACATACGACTCGGGAAGCGTATCGTATCTTTTCTTTTAATTTGCATTGTCCAACGTAGCGTTTATCAACGTATGCAGATACGTAAAGCTCGAAAGACTTATTGTTAGTTGAAGTTAACTAAAAATATATATAGCGACCGAAGAAATATAACGAACCGCTAACCCACAATATTTAAGCGATTCACACAAATTTTTTCTTTGTTGTCAATAAATACAAGAGCTCGCAATTTAAATCGATATGTATATAAGGAGAGAAAAGAATGAAAATAAAAATCACATCCTTTATAATTATTTATTAGAACAATTTAACATTATTAAATGTATTATTTTACAATAATTTGAATAAAATTCCATAGATGAATTTATTTATATTTAAATCGCCATTATGTCGAATATTGCAATGCAATATCAAGATAATTTATATTAATTAAGCCTTCACATTTTTTTCAGTAAAAGGTATTCAGAAGAGCATTGACATTATCGACTGTTTTTAGTCATTTAATCTAATATGAATATTCGATAATAATGTGATAATTAATTTTTGAATTTACAGTTGTTTCGTAGTTTGTAAGTATATATATGTATATTTGACGATAAATTATATTATACATTATATTTCTGTGAAATTTTATTTTTCTATAGAAAACAAGTCGATAATGTCAATGCTCTTCAATTATCCTAATAATCACGTGGAAATTAATTCATAATTAATCCTTTTTAATATTGCATAGTTCTAGCGCGTTTGATAGATGTATTAGACACTCCAATAGACCTTCATAAATTACAAACAAATGTTAAATGGCTCTCTTTTTTTAATATAAAGATGCAACATATATTGATTTTTCTACAAATCATACTTATTTTTTATATAATTGACGATATTAAAAGTAATGGTACATAAATTCTTTAGTAATTTAGAAATCTTCTACACGCAGAGATAGCGTTTATTAGTGACAACTTCAAGAAAAGCTTTTGTTCAGCTTCACGTGTATAAGTGAAGCAAGAATGTGAATCGATATGAATTCGATATAGAGACTGAAAGTGAATTGATTTGAATGTTCGCGAGACGTTCGGAACAGTTCGGAATTTCAAATTCAGCGGAAGTCGAAGCGCGGCGGTCGAACGTTTCGGGGAACATCCCGCGTTCTGCCGCGTCCCGCCACTATATCTGCCTTTTTTTCTCGGTCGGCGAACGTCATCGGTCGTCGCCGCAGTCATCGACGGCGGCGGCAGCGGCGATCATCACATGATTTTTGACGTTGTAGCGCTGCTGCACCGTTCGTTTCGAACATGGCCGCGGTGGGATGCGAAGCGAAGGAGGGCACCTCGGCGGACCTGTTGAAAACGCCGGTGTTGTCGAGCGAGGCCGTCAGCGCAATCCAGCGGGATGAGGACTCTGGTATACCGTTGCAGACGCCGTGGACCTTTTGGCTCGACAAGTGAGAGGAAACGCGGTGATCTCCCCCTTTTTTTCCCCGTTCCGCCGTTGTATCCCGATGCAACGGTGCAATCCGATCTTATCGTCGTCGCTCTTGTCAAACAATGATATCACGAACGTTCCGCGAGAAGTGCCGTCGAAAGATCGATTCAACGTTGGTGAGATCGTCGCACCTGACGTTTTTCTCCGTTTACATAACGCCGTAACGCAGTTACAGGCAAAATTAATTTAAATTCTACGTCTTCATTAAATTCACGTTACTCTTCTGTTCTCGCAACCGCCATTGCGTCACCGAAGAGAAGTTTAATCGCATACATTCATATTTATGTACGTAATTTTTGCTAATAAATAACGATATAAAGTATTTGTCATTACCATTGTGCGAACTAAGAGGATAAAATTAATGCATTGAATTATGCAGTATTGCAGTTGTACAGAGTGTTCCAGAAGTAAAATTAATTATAGATAACGTTGGATAGAATAAATTATTTGTGTAAATTTTTTGCAGTGATCGTACTGTTTAAAAAAAATTTTATTTTTTTAAACCAGATATGTATGTTTAATTGTTGGTTGTACAGATAAATAATTACATAGTCGGCACAGTACATTTATACCGCGTGAAATGGAATAATCTTCGTTTCCTATTAATTTTTTGTTTGTGAAACTTAAAGAAATTATTGTATCTTTTAAATATGAAAGTACTGATGGATTATGATAATTAAAATAATTATGATATAATTATTTGATAATTGATACGTTATTCATATTTTCTGTCCCGTCCATTTTCTATCACTGTGTCGGACTTTATTTTTGACACATACGTCTATAATATCTATATAATTGAAATATAAAAAATACTAGTATTTAATTTATAATTTATTTAATTTGCTCTTTTTGTTTTGATTGACAATAAGATTCCATATTATCTTTTACTAAATTTAGAGAGATTTGTATCTGAAAGAGATTTCGCAAAAACCAGATTGATTCCTATCACAAATGTAAACACGCCGCTAATTCAGAACAATTGTTGAATTGACAGAGCTATTCCTGGCACAACCACGGAGGAATACAAAAACAACTTGCAGAAGATATATACCGTAAATACTGTGCAAACTTTTTGGGCAGTCTTCAATAACATACCAAATGCCGGGAAAATGCAGGTATCATAAAGAATCTATATGCAAAAAAATAATTTGCTAATACATATTATATTTTATGTCATAATTAATTTCGTCAATTATTATAGTAAACAGAAAAACTAAGAACACTAATTTTATTTGCTGAAAATAATTTTTTTTTAATTTGCAAATTAAACAGCATTTTTTTAACAGCAAATTAGTATGTTTCTACGAAAAAATATTATTGGATTTTTCCATTTTTCTTAACTATTTTTAATAATAAATTGATTGAATAAATTGATTGTGGTACAAAATTTTATTACTCTTCAAGAGTAAATTTCAACATTTTATTCATTATTATATGATTTATTATAAAATAGTTAATAACATAGACAAATCCAACAAAATTTCTTTTCAGTAATAAAACTTTTATATGTATGTCATATATAGTAGTATGACATGATATATAAAATAATATATACATATATATATATATATATATGAGAGTAATAAAACTTTATGTGTGCCACAATAAATTTAAGTATGATCAATTTAAAAATACTTTTTGTTATTTGTAATGTAAGAAAGATTATTATAGACCTGCTACATGTATAATTGTGAAATTAATTATATTATTTGAAGTTTAATATTTAATTATACTATTTGGCATTATTATACGCTGTTTCATTATTTGCCATTTACAACTTGTTATTCATATTTCGCCGGAAGTTATTTGTTTATATTTATTTTTGTTGCCAGGTTAGATACAGTTATCATTTAATGAGAGACAACAGATACCCTTTATGGGAAGACAAGTTGAATCAAAAGGGTGGTACCTGGAGATTGAAGTGCCATAAATCTGATACCGTAAATATTCTAAATACATTTATACGAGCATCAAGTTTTGTCCAAACAATCAACTTCTTATTTTCCTATAGAAGACTCCATAAAATTTGATATCTTTGTTTGATATCCGCCTAACAAATGTTTGGTTTTTCAGGAACGTGTCTGGCAAGAAGTGGTGCTCGCAGCTATCGGAGAACAGTTTGCCTCGGACATAGCGCAGGACGATGAAATTTGCGGGGTGACTGTATCTATTCGTGAAAAGGAGGACCTCATTCAAGTACATATATTGAATCAAGTAGAGCAGCAGTTACATAATCGAATGAAATTGAAAATGTATTGATCTTTTTAGATTTGGAATATAAACGCTGATTTAATATCAAAAGCTACGGTCTTATCCAAAGTTCACTCTCTAGTGCCTAACGTAAACTTCCTGGGAGAGTTTTATAAGTGTAAGTATTTATATTCTTTCTCGTTAGAGAATTGTTTTACAGTACTAAGCAAAATATTTATTTTTTTTTAGCTCATAAGTCACATCACGCGTACGGAAGACGTTAAACATACAGCTACATTGTGATGAAGATTTTATTAACTCGTTAAAAATATCTATATTATAAGATTATGACAATAACGAACATATTTTTATGTGATCTATAAATAACTAATGTTTGTATTATCATTGCGAACAAAGTCCTTTCTGTAAAACTAAGAGCACAAATGTTGAAGGGAGAAAGAGAGAGTTATTATATATATAGATATATATGTGTTTTAAAAGTTTGTTACTTGTGAATTTTGTTCAATGCGTTGTTTACATACTGGATTCGATATCTTTGCGAATCGAATTGCTGTTGTAACAGTTTTACAACTGCGAAATATATTTTTATATTTACTGTGTATACGCATCTGTGTTTATATTTTTCAAGACAATATATTTTTATTTAAGAGCACGTAACATTTCCAGACACCTTGACAGACACGATCGAGTCTTCGTGTCGCTATAATCGTATACATAACGGTCACAAAAAACGCGCGGGATTTATTATTGATTGTGTTGGTTGGAATGTGCAGGAAATTTGCAGACAGTGTCTTCCTTAATTTGTGCGTGTTCTTATATGCGCAGTAAACTACGCATCTTGCGATTTGCGTAGGAAGGAGGAGGATGTCTGGCGCCTGCCGCCTGTTGTGTTATTGATTACGGCTCATTACATCCGCCTTCCCGAAATTTATTAACGGCACACATCAAAAGTAGCATTTAAGATTCTCGAGAAAACAGCGCGAAATCACGCGACAAGATGATTACGTGTGTCCGTTAACATGCATAGGAATTAGGTATTGACCCTGAATTTCATGAAGACTCGAAGAAAGTGTTTGTGCGTGCGGAAGAGTATCGATTGATTATCCTTCTGTTATCTTATCTTGACTTCATTCTGCTCGTACATTCTTTTTTCTTGAATAATTCTTCAGTTCGAGAAATAACGACAAGTGTGAATTAAATAAATCTTCTCTTGAATAACACATCTACTTATCAGAATATTTTAATGTAAAGAGTGTGAAACCGGAATATATGTGAGAATTGACTTGAAATTGAGATTAGGCGGAGGAATGTGGTTCTGTCTCGTATAACAGCGAGAAGAAGTCTTTATTTTTCGGCAGAGAAAATAAAGAATTTTTTGGCTAGAATCAAATGAACTGGATTTGAATGACAGTTGCCCGAAGTTTCTTTGGCGCTCTATCGAATTCCTCGGAGCGTCTTGAAAAGCAAATTTGAATATTTAATTAGTTCCCTCCAGAAAGCCAGTAACATTACCCGACTACTTGGCGCCAAGTTAACATTTTACGGCTCCCCGACATTATTCACGTTGACGTCAACGGAAGAATGCCTCGGAGATAAAACATAAGTTTATTTAGGCAGCTAATGCCTATTAGACTAGTTTTAAATCAGACTTAAATTATGTCCCCAAATTTGCATTTTTCGACGTTTATTTCGCGTACCGACAGTGTCACGAAAAAAACATCATTGAGATTCGATCGTTCACACCGTTTACGAGTCACTTTTACATTAATTAAATACAGCGTACACGTGACATTATTTTTCTTAAGAAAAGGTACCTTAAAAAATTTATTGATCGAAGTTAATATTTAATTATAATTAATTAAAATTGCATTTTTGACATTTCAAAATTAAACCGACATTTATATAGCGGCAACTGCGGTATCTGCAGAGTGTAAGAAAAAAAATCTTGAATTATCTATCAACACGTGAAATCTTATACATTTTCGTTATTTAGGCGATAGTAGTTTTACGAGGTAGAAAGTTTAACCGGAGGTAAAAGTTCCTTCTCCTAGTTAGAGAATATTGACTTAGCATTTCAAACTTGTCCAGATTACAAATTTGGACGGTCTTACACACACAGAACCGGAACTATTCCCTGATGAAAAAAAAAAAAAAGAAAAACAGATATTCATCGATTACAGTTAGCTTGCGAAGCGAGTTCTCTCTTTCGATTTGGCGATACACGAATAAATCACGGCGCATCGCGGCCTTGCACACGGCCTTGCCGTGCGAGAGGCACGTGTACACGACTGCGCGGACGTAATGGTGAACATTAACGATATCGCGAATGGCTGTCTTGCGAGAAAGAGATGACACCGATTCGGAGTCTCATTACTCCGGTGCGTAAAAGTTTCCCTCGCACCTGAGTCATCGTCGATAATTATCGTCAAATAGCATAGCTGTTCCCATAAGAGTCGCGGCACTCATCATCCATCACTAAATCACTTCCTCCTGTTATACCTTCTGCTATAGTTACGCCTCGAGAATTTTTCTCACGAATTCAGACATTATATATAATCATAATTGAATTACATAATCTAATTCTAATCTACTTTTCTGGTAATCATATGCACTGCAGTTTTAAAAGTATATTGTGGTATACATACATATTAAATATAATGTGACTGAATTGTGAATAAATCGGTATTCTTTTCTTAACTGCATGCAGCCGGAGCTTTTTCTCTCGATAGAATTTGTAACATAAAGGATTAATGTCTACGTCATTTTCGTTAGAATAAAATCTGACACGTGCAAATGTCTTATTGTTAATTTCGCGGGAAGAATCCAAAAGTTATCTCTCAAAATAAAAAATATAAATACTTCTGTTTATTTGTGGACGATCTACGCGTTTCTCTGTCTGTGGTGAGGAGAGAGGATTAGAAATTTTAAATCTCTAGGCAGATTAATTCCACGATCGCCGCCTCGGCACCAGATCAATCTAGCACGCGCCGCTCATTATAATTCAACTAACTGTCTGAGTAGGACCGCCGGTCCAGGATCTTCTCGAGCAGAATGTCCGAAGATACGGGATTTCCTGATTGCGGAATGGCGCCGTGCTGCGGACGGCATACCGCGTGGGCCACGTATACGTACATGTATATGTATATATATGTACATACGCACACACGACGCCGGTAGACCTACTGTTACATGGCTTTGTGTTCAAAAATTTAATCGGAATTTTTTCAATTTGCATCTACGCATATCGTTTAGGAAGTCAAAGGCCTTGCAGGAAACTAAGGAATCTTCACTGAACGATAAAAAAAGGGTTTTCCCTGATTCAATGTTATTTATTACATTTTCTTTTTATCTACATTCCATTATACAGGTATGAGGCATAAAATCGGCGCTAAAAATTTCTATAGCATGACATAAGATCGCTTGACGATGGATGTATCATCGATACGCATACATACATCAATTTATATATATCAAGAAGCTGCATGTGTAGAAGCATATCTTAAAAATATTGCTGCATTGAGAGAAAAAAAGTGTAAAATCAAATGAACATTTCTTGATTCAACTATACATGGCGGTCGCGGGAAGTCAAACAATTATTTTAATTGTTAATTAATAAAAATATGTTAATGTTATTGATGTATGTTTAATTTAAAAACATAATTGAACTTATTGAACTAAAGAAAAACTGTCAACAAAATGTATTTAGTTATTTTAACAACTTATTTTCTCAGTGTGCGATTTCCCTATATGCTTCCTCGTCTTCTCTCATCCACCTTCGCGGAATTTTCAACAAAGAAAATCCTGTAATCGCCTCATTGTTCCACCACTTTTTTTACACGATATTTTTCTAGAATTCCTGCAATTTTCACAAGCTACCGCGCGTGGCGACAATGCGATGATTAAAAAATGAATCCGACAGCGAAATCGCGCATTATCGCCATAAAAAAAGGATACCGGATCAAGGAATTTGACTTTTTGTTAATCGCCGATAAATCGTTCAGCCCCGTTTTGTAGAAGAGCATTTAATATTGATAACTCGATGCGCTTTGTGATTTATTTGACGATAGGCACGGCCTTCGGAGGCCGAGCGATTGTATTTTTGCGAACAAAATAAATACGTTCGCCACGGGACGCGCGGATTCTTACTTCATATTTGCCCTGCGTGGCACGCTCACATATACACACTCTCGACTCTTTCCAATAAATTATCAATTCACACGTACCCATCTCGCGGGATTTCCTATCGAGCTCTGCCAGCCATTAATCAGTCGTAACATTGTTCTCATCGCCGGTTTCTGCATTCCTTCACGACGACGTCTTGTAAAATTTATAATTTTGTATAATACGACATCCTCGTATTATTTAATATTTGCGAATTATGGTCGTAATCATTGGCCATCGTTGCTACCGATCATTCGAAACTCACATAATCTTTTGTCTCTTTGTTCTTTTTTTTTATTTTCATGCAGTATTATACACGTCGAAGGTCAACCGGTAATGCCCGATAACTTCCGGCTCGTTTTCGCAAAATCATAACGTAATGTTTTCTGCAAAGCCGTAAACGTATTTCAATCATCATCATTATCATTATCTTCGTTACTGTCATCATCGTCGTCGTTGTCATTATGGTACGACGACCCAGAAAAAGAAAGGGAGAGAGAGAGAAAGAGAGAGAGAGAATTACGCGAATTTGTAATCCTGGACGAAATTCTTGCATTTCGAGAAAGATGAGAAATCATGATCTAAACTAGAATCTGTTTTTTTTTTTTTTTTTTCATTTCTACGATTTGTGTTGACGATTTTGCTCGGATCCACATGTATTGACCACATTGTCATCGATCGATCGTTGGACTGAGAGAAGCCCCCTGCGTATCCGGTAACTATTACGTCAACCGGAACGCACGTGCCGCTTGCGTATCATCGATGCACAATGTGAAATTTGTTTAAAAAAAGAAAAAAAAAAGAAAAATATTTTGGTTATACATTCAAATATTTTTTCATAGATTTATGTTATATTATTATTATATTTTGTTAAAATGGATTCATCTGAAATTTAAATTTAAATTTAATAAATAAACATAAAGCTATTTTGAATATAAATGAGCTTTAGAAAAAATATATACACTATTTTATAAACTTATACTATTTATATATTATTTTATAATATTAAAATTTTTTTAGATAAGTCAAACCTATCTAAGCTGTTTAAGTAAACTATCTAATTAATAGTTAATATATAATATGTATAAATATTACATTAATTGATATTTATATATAATATCGATATTTATATATAATATTGATATTTATATATGTATAATCAAATAAAAAATGTTTTCATTCTTCTAAATTGTACACTGTGCGACGCAATAGAAAAGGAAATTGAAAAACAGGAAATGATTTTCAGTCCCCTTTTCGATCCGCTTCCGCTTTCTCGTCCTTCTGCATTCCGTTGCGATCAATGGGCACGGGAATCATTGTTGCGCGAAACGATCAACGCTGCGGATCGCGCGATATTATCCCAAATGTGTGAACGGGCACTCGGTTACCACGATTAAATTTGAATGATGTAATTGTCGTGGTCAGTTTGATGTCGAAACTGCGAGTATGATTGTGGTCGGATCAGCTTAGGTTTCTAATGCTCCGCAATCGGGAAGGAAGTAATTCTGCGCGAAAAAATAAATGAAGATCAAAAACATAGAGAATAAAACCTCCTGGTTATTACCTCTCGAATTTTAGTTCTCGAAAAAAAACTAATTTTGTGAAAATTAACAAATTCCCACATTTAATCACAAGAGCAAAAATACTATAAAATAAATTTCTTTTATATGTTGTAGCGTCGCAAAATAAATAATGCGCGAATCGTTACGCTCATTTCAATTCCAAATTTTACCAGGAAGTAAACAACGTTTGATACTTTATGTAATGTCTACTTCAAGGTAGATTTGGTTTCCACTAACATTCAGTTAGTAGTCAATGCTGTCGAAGAAGTTGTAACTTATGTACGAATTTATTCCATGACTATCAAAATATCTTGTTGAGAAAGATAGTGATTATAAACGCCGATTCATTTCCGGTAAAAATAGTCTTCACGCATAAATCGATATTGACTTAATTTAGCAGGATTTATCAAGCACGTACAATATAGCATTAAATATTATATACTGCAAATTTCGTATTCTATATATTTCCATATACTGATTATTAAATTGAATTTATTTATACAAAATGCTGCTGTTTATAAAATATTGCAAAAGTACACGAATTACTGTATTACTCGGCACAAATAATGGATTATTTAATTCTTTATCAAAGATGATAGCGTAAATCAAATTAGAATAGATTTTGATTCCTCTTCCATTTTTCTTTTTATTATCTTTTCTTATTATCTTCATATATGTATATTTTTTTTATTAATTTCTTGGCATTTTCTCTCTCTCTCTCTCTCTCTCTCTCTATCTATCTATCTATCTATTTATCTTTCAGATGTCATTCTTCCACAATACATAACGTACGTGCGATTATATGTACTGATGCATTACGTTCAAGATGACGAAACAGATTTATTAGTTACGGAATCGTACAACTTCTGGTTACCACGAATTGTGCCCGTGTTACAGAAAGCAGAAGCTATTCTTATCAACTCTACGTGTGAAATATTTTTACGTGAGAAACCGCGGATCTTCCTATCAATTCTGTTGTTATGTAATTAATGCCATATAAGCTGGCGGAGATCCTTTCTCTCGATGTGGGACAATACCATTAAAAGAATTCGAGACGAAATTCGTGAATTCATCTTCGACATCTATTCGGCCAAGTTGAAAATCGATTTTTATGTCTTACTTTAGTTCTGTGTTAAGCCATTAAATCTTCTTGATTGATTAGAATCATTTGCGTCATAATAAATATTATAATTACCGTCAATCATTATAATTACACCCAAGTTTTTTCGCGCAGCCGTAAAAAGCTATTGCAAGAAACGCTGACATTTAACACATGCAAAGTCTGTACCTGCAGTATTTTCTCGTGATGACAGAGATTCGGAGACGTAATCTCAATTAAGATCATGAGGAGCTGAGGAATGAAAAAGAAACAAATGTTATCTCGACGTGTCGCGCACAAGATTAATTTATTTCAAGCAAATTTCAATAAGAGACGGTATTCCTCAATAAAGAGAATTAACATAATATGAATTGCAAAAAGTTCTTGCTGTTTTCATGTGAAGTAAAAGGATCTACCATGTATTTTGCGTAAGTTTTTTTGCAAGGGTACGATTTTTACATTTAAGATAAAAAGATCAATTCCAGCAAAGTGTTAATTTTATTAGGATGCGGTCGATATGACATTAATTTCCGAAAATCGTAATAAATAATTCATTGATTGACGTCATTAATATTAAGATAATTAATTAATCAATTTTTTTTTAATAAAAGCTTTATTAAATTTAAATTTGTCAAAAAACGCAGCATTGGGAATGCTATACACAAGCCTATTGAAGCGCATACAAGCCTATTTCTGAGAAATTAATTAGGAAATATTTATAATTTGTCATCTCGTTTTTGCTTTCAAGGTTTTTAGTTTAGGTACTAAAAACTTTTTATTCTTAATTAATTATTCGAGAAATACGACATTTTCGTTGTGGAAAAATTTATGCGGAGTCGACTAAAGAATTTACAGCAGAAAGAAAATCCTATGATTTCGAGGCATTAAAGTTATAAATTCATAATTTTAATATAATCGTTGCGCTTTTTAAGAAAAAAATGGTTCCCGATCGATTTGCCATCACAACAAATATGGATGTGGACTGCGTTTCGCACCAAGCCGTGCGTTTAGACATTGTGTCATTCTGCTTTCCAATTCAATTAACCGTACGCGAGCCCGACCTCGATGTGGCTGCGTACGAGCGTATAGTCATCCTTTCAGTCGTTCGACATCATCGGCATGGAAGGATATCCGTCATGGTGACCGAAGAGCGCGTCGAATTTATGCGCGCCTTACCCGATTAAAAGTGCGAAGAACAACATCGCAGGAGGTCAAGGGACACCGGTGACGGCGCGCGTTAATTGGCCGATTAACCAAGCTTTACGGCCGAGCGATGACAGCATCCTGCGCGATTTCGAATCCGTCATTGCCTTCGACCAACGATTTGTTCGCATTCATTTATTTCTATGTTTTTTTTTCTAATTTTTAAGGTTCTCGAGATGCTTAGAACGAAAAAGAACTCTCAACATGTAACATTGTATACTTCGTGCGTTCGTTTAAGTTGCGCGGAGATGGGATTTATCCTAGAAACATATATAATTAGAGGTACGGCCAATTCAATTCAATTCAAATTTCACGGTGCATGCGATGGTAACGGAATATATACCTTCGTCGGTTTCCAGACGATTTGAATCCCGCGATGATTCCATCGCGATGATACTCTCCCTTACCAATTAAAGAACAGCGTTACATGCCGGAGCAAAAATTAATTCCGCCTCCTGTTACACAATAAATTTATTAGTCACGCATGCGTGAAATGGAGGATATGTAAAGCAGAAGTCATAAGTGCGACATAACTCACTATTGTTCTGCAGGGTGAGACTTGACCACCTTGAATGTTTCTGTTAGATGCAAATGTTTGTTGTTTTGCTACTTTGATATCGCGGACCTATTCTGCAGCATGTTCTTCGTAAGTTCCTTTCCTATGTAGTATAATTCTATTCTTTCCGTTATCTGTATTATTATAATATTTTACATTTTACTATTTTATTATATTCTATTTATGTCTTAATAGCTATTAACTTGTCTTTTGATAGTCATTAAAAACGGACTTAAAATACGTGTTAAAGCGAATTTAATTACAATTTAAAATGAAAATAATATTTAATTGCATGTATTGAATTTTTGAAGACATTAAAGGCTGCGATTATAATGTAAATTTTAATTAAAGTATAATAATTATCTATCTTTCTCTTTTATTGTCTTTAATGGTTTCATATCCAATCGTTGTTTGTCTACGTATCTTTTGACAGATGTTAATCCAGTCGAAAACATCTCATTTAGTTAACAATTCTGTCAATAGAATGATATCCTTTAAATAAAGATTATTTATTTATTGCTTAGTGATTTCTTCTACAAACTCGCTATTTTATGAAATATGAAGAGATATCATAACTGCATATATTTTTATTTATTTATTTTTCGATTTTTAATAAAGACGAATCTTATCAATATTTACTAATTATTTATAAGCAATAGTAATTTGAATTAGACCGCGTAAATAAATATCGCAAATAAATTTAAGAACGCCTTTTATGGTCGAGACTGGATTTTGGTGCCTAATAAGATTTCCCTATGAATTTTAAATCCATTATTCATCCATTTTAATTTATTATTCAGTCATTTAGACTGCGCGCCGAATTAATGTCTGACTTGCAACGAAATCATTAACTGAAGATTGGAATAGTAAGATCACAATTGATCTTCAATTTTTAACAATCCGATGCAAATATGAAATAAGCATCATAAAACATTGCAAAGAAATTATTGCAAAAAATATTAAATTATTTATCATTATTAAGAACCAAAATGCCTATATAATTAAGACAGCAATTAAATAAAAATTTCCATCGTTTCTCTAGCAAAATCATGCAAAGTGATCGTCGCGAGTTCGGTTCCCACTAATATTCGCGTCTGCAAGCGCAAAGCTTGCTGTTGAACGGGCATGTCGATGAGATTTTACTAATCTGAAAGATTACTGGGAACGGCATCTATTGCGGTAAAAGCAGATTCGCACCGCATAACTACACGTACAATGATGAGAGGTGTGTTTATCCACGCGGCACATGCACGCGCAACTATGAGGCGGCACGCAGAATACACACGTGAGCACGCTCGAGCGGTGGCGGCGGCGGCGGTGGCAGCGTTTGCATTCTCACGTTGGTCATCGCCACGGAAAAGCATCGTAATGCCATTGTTCGATTTCCTATACGCGTGAATTTTCCCGAGCTGCTCGCACATTCCGTGAAGCGGTACAGAAATTACAAAGCGCAGCGCGAGATTCGCCCAATACAGACAAAGAAGACGATATTCTGTCCGGATTATGAACGGATCACACATTTGCCGTAACCCGATAGAAGATAAAATTAATTTTTTTTTCATCTTGAAGAGAGATTACGTACTCAATTCTCAGAAATAAATTTCTTTAATGAGATAGCAACGCGGTCTGAAATTAATAAGAGGAAAGTCTTGCGGTTTACCAAACGCTTCCTATCTTCAAGAAAAATTGCAGCGTTGAAGTAAATCGAAATTGCTTTTATATCTGCGCGATTAAAATTGCTTTTCGCACAATGCGAAACGTTCTGACTCTCTTTCGGCGATTGATCGTCCGATACACTTCGAACTTAAGTTATCTGGACGGAGTCTACGTGTGCCTGCCGGTCGTTCGCGCGAAAAGAGACGAATGTGAAAGTGAAATTGGGAAATGATGTACAAATTTTGTTCTCGTATGCCATGGGCGCGCAGTGAATAAATAAACGCGACAGGCGTTATGTGTACCGCGCGCTGTCCCGCCGTTACGAATTACGCTTTACCTGTCCGCGAGCCTTCCTGGCAGTCCGACGCCGATACGATCGCGTACGGACAGCACAATCGGTGTCGCTTTTAATTGTCACTCCACTCACGCATTTATTTGATCGTGCCCGATGTGACGCTCGTTCGCGATCGGTCACCGCACTGCATACTAGTGTCATTCACTTACCCTTATCTGCACTGCTCGCAATATCGCGAGTATATATAAAAAAAAAAGAAGAAATTTTATGTTTTCGCAGTAAAACCGCGTCATCACTTTCTACGAGAATAATTTCTTTATTTGTATGTACGATACGAAAGCGACCATACGTCGCCAGCATAATCATTAATTCGATGATGTAACGAAGTCTTGTTATTAAATTTTTTTCTAGATAAACACTTGTAAAAATGCAAATCCGCTATTAAAGCAAATTTTGCTCGGTAATTAAAAGAAAAATAGTCTGTTCTTAGTAAAATGCAATTTATTATTCAAACATGCAAGCGTGCTTTGAATAAAAATTAACCTGTTAAGGAAATTGATTGGAAGAAGCTAAAGAGCTCTTGTTTTCAAATTAATTCAATTTTGAATTTAGTTTTTAACTGAACTGAATTTTAAATTAGCAGAAATTTTATTTTAAGTTTTATTTACTGCCAGAATCTTGCAATAAACGATGGTTGTTTGCAAGGCTTTCGTCGAAGAAAAATTAACTTCTCGTCAGTTCAAGTTCGTGGAATGTGGACATTCCGTACATGAGCTATCCAGTACGTCGTTAGAGAATTGAACGGGATCTACTTGTTTACTGCTGTCGTAAATTTTTCTTGTTTACGTTTAGATTTTATAGACTCGCAAAATGTGTTAGAGATCGTCTGCTGATGATAGAATGTCAATAGCTTGACTCTGCTTAGAGTGATTTATGTTAATTTCGTCATTGACAATTTCTTCTTTTAGGCATCAGCACGTTATTTTAATTCACGGACAGCGTGGTAAGCCAAGGGTTAAATAGAAACGACGAAACCTTGGCCGGTTTGTCTTTCTGTGGTAAGACGCTGCGAGAGTCGTTAACAATGTACGTGCGATACGTTTTATTAGGTTTACCGAAAATTCCCGCATGTGATGACGTAAAGATGATTCGACGGTTGTAAAATTGTCGTAAAAACAGCTTTTGGAATTTCACCAGCGCACGCAATCATGCAGACTCGACGAAAAAAAATCGCCCTTAGGGCCTTCGGTTGCATCCCGAGGAATATGATCTAAGGATGCGCTGATTGTGAGACAGAAGAACCGGAAAAACAGGATCGAGCCCCTTTTCAGGCGCGTCCTCTCGACGCAGCCGCTTTTGCACCCTAAGGCTAACAATAAATCAAATTACAATTTACGGGATCAGTAAACTTAAGCCTAAAGTCGTCTTCGGAAGAATTGTCCGAGATATTTTCCTGATAATCGCGAATCTTCGCTTTTGATGAATTTTTGTAACATCCCACTTTTTCCAATCACGCGTGCAATCCGTCCTGCAGAATATCGTGCCGCAATAAATTAATAATTAATTAATTGTGAAACGGGAGGGGTGTTTTTTCTGCTGCGAAAAGCCGTTGCTTCGGCGCGGCGTGGCTCGCGTATAGGAATGTCGACGCGGCGCCGAATAAAATTACGAGGTGCTTTTTTGCACTTTCTGCATACCTGTGTCGCGCCGGCGCGAGTTTCGTGGAGCGCGTAAATACTGACATAAAAGTTAATACATAAAGATGATGTACACTTAATAAGCATAATTATGACATTAATAAATCCTTACCTTGGAGCCTCATCCATTTCACTCCACGTCGTCACGGGAACCGTAAACTTTCTTCGACTTCGCGCGTGTACTAACGCGCGCAGGAATTTCGGCGCGGCGTCGAATAAAATTAAGGAGCGCTTTTTTTTGCGTTCTTCCACATCCTTGATCGTGTCAGGGATTTCCTAGAGACCGCGTAAATATTCCTACGTAAAATATATACGCGGCGTTTCGTGCTATTAAAGGCGATTAAGCTTTCGTGCAAAACTTATTTAAATGTTAATGCAACATATTTATCTAAATTAACGTTAATTCAAAAGCATTCTCTCCACATATTATATTTTTTTTCACTCTGCTAAAGGACTTTGAACTCTCCGATTGAAATACCAGTCAGGCTATCATTCGAAATCTTCGCCTCGACGAACGCTTGTAAACTTTTAAGTAGAGCCGCGCACGCTGTATCAGTTCTCTTAGGACTATCTATCCTTCGATATTTTTCCAAATCTTCGTGCGTGTAAAACACATCGCCGAGCAGTAAAAGATTAATCGTCTATTCTGTCGGAACTTTTTTTACGGGTATAACGCCAGAAAAAAGGTACACGTCTACGAATCGTCAGACACGCGCGAAGCAGCGTATCTAATACGGCAAATTTACGGCGCCAATAAATCTCAATCTTATCCCAATCCAATTCCTCGCAGTCGGCCTACGTCGCGAAAGAGAACCGCAAGCTTTCTTCGATTTGGCGCGCGCAGGAATTTCGGCGCGGCGCGTCGAATGAAATTAAGGAATGCCTTCCTCGGGAGTTCTTTTTTTTCTTCGCGCTCCCCGCATACTTGCGTCGCGTCAGCGTGATTTCCTAGAGCGCGTAAATACGTTCCGGATCCCGTGGACTCTGCTCCTCCCGTACTGACGTGTGTACGAAACCCGGATAGAATGGACAAAGTGGGGGCACTCGGTGGCGCGTGGTCGCCACTGGACGCGCGAGGCAACATAAAACGAAGCGGCAAACGAGATCGGGACTCAGTGTACACGAGACGATCGATCGCAGCACGATCCTGTGAAGCGATAGCGAGAATCGAGCTTGTTATTGATTGTTTGACAATCAATCGTGAAACGGCGGGCAATTGCACCTGTGAACACCGCACACGTGTGAATCGCACCTGCCGGCGTGAAGCTAGTGCCGGCGACGTTGAGAACGGACGGAAAGCGGAAAAGGAGAGCAAGAGCATAATGATGATCAGCGGGACTTCCATCGCGAAGGTCACTACCTGCATTCTGCTTGGATGCTGCGTGACGATGCGAGTCACCGGCTCGGCGATACCGATGTGGGAATTTCTCTCGAGAAATGAGAAAGTGAGTACGGATCATCCCTCCGCTGATTCTGCTAATTTTGCCGATAATATTAGTCCGGTGCAGGAGATTTACCGGTTTTCCATTAAATTCTGCTTTAAGTGAAGCTACTGAACTTTTTAAAGCACTACCTTAAGTGAGGCAATCTAATCTTTTCGAAACGTTGCTTTAAGTGAAGTTATACCTGAGTGTTTTAAATAAGAATTCGAAAACTTCCTTCTTAGGCAAGATAATCTTATTGGAATGAATTGATAATGCTGGCTATTTTTAACTGTTAAACATTGCTCCGAAACTGTATAATTTAGTTTCTAATGTTGTATGATATATATGAAAAAGTATTTGCACCAATTTAACTATATAATTCGTGTAATTAGTGAAAGAATATACTCGTATATGATAATATGATAAACGAACACACTAGCTGTTTCAAATTTATTGATCATTTACAGTGATAAATGTTGTAAATGCAGAAATGCAAGAAGTACAGATGTATAAAAATATGTGAAAGAAATATAAGAAAAGAAGCATTTTACATTGTAACTTGTATAATGTAAAAGTACACGTTGTAATGTAAAAGTAAAAAAGTACTTTTATGCGTTTTATTTTGCACGAAAGAGAAAGATATTATCGCCGTTTCCGTCAGAATACATTGCACTCTCATTTGTTCTAGTATATTGAATAATATATACTCTGTAGAAACGCGCCTCCCTTCTTTGCAAATTATTTAAAGAAAAATAAAATGTACAAATACTTATTTCACTCGCTATAACTTCGTTTCCGCGCACCCAACTCTTTTTTTTTTATCTTCGCTGAAATTATGACGGCTAAATCCCTTTCATTAATTTCGCATGAAACCGCGAATGAGAGATGTTGCAAACATCTCTTCGTGATATCAGCTATTCAGTGGACTTTCACCGAACAATCGAATGTATCCGATGCAAGTGCGTTGCATCCGAATCACGTGCTGGGAGCACCGCGATTGCATTTGCATTGTATTTGCGCAAATTCTCTTCAGTGACGAGTCAATAAGCTAGAACATCTTTATTTATTAAGTTTAACATGAGTTGGATGGACATTTTAGAATTTCAGATACTCGCTCTGAAAACACTCTTAACGATTTGATTAGGAGAAAGATAATTGACTTCGTTGCTTTGTACTTATTGCTTACTTAGCTCTTACTAGGAATTATCAAGATTGTTTACTCACAATTATAGCTCTTATACTTATAGGAATAATCAAGATTGATTTAGTACATTCTCTTTCTCTCTCTCTCTCTCTCTCTCTCTCTCTCTCTCTCTCTCTCTCTCTCTCTCTCTAATATATTACAGTATCAGAATGATTTATTTACTTTTTTCTGGATCTATTTTGTTATTTTTTGTATTTTATATTACAAATTCCTTACTTTCCGCAATTAATGGCGAATAATTAATATTTTATTTAAATACATTTCGATTATTTTAAGCATTCTTTAAAAATAGATGTCGTAATATCATTTAGTCTGTTAAGTTGATGCGATATAAATTGTAAAATGAAATTGATGATTTACAATTTTTAAAGGAAGATTCGAGAGAAATTTTATTCCTTAATTTTTGAAGATGGCATTTTAAAAACTGAGTTATTTTAATTGATAAAAATTATTTCAAAAAAAGTAACGTAATTCATTTTCAACTTTATTTAACAAATGCTTAACCGAGGGATCATTGTAGCTTGTTTATTACTGCTTAAATATCTATCTTTCGACAGTGCGAGTCAACTCATGCGAATGACACGTTCAGTACTGTGGAATTGTGGAAATCAGGTGCTTCGCTTTAATCTTGAACTGCTCGATGTTTATCAATCAATAGCCGGATGCTTGCGATTTTACATACCAATCGTATTCTTTATTTCAAAGCCCTCGAGTTTCCCATGAAATGTCTTTAGTATCCGTGCAACGTTATGCGTCGACGGACGGTTGTAAAAATCTAAAGATTACCGCGATTACGACGATCGGCTACCGGGAAGATAATTACACCAACTGTTAATCGTCACTGTGACACAATAATTGCGCGGATTCTCGCAAGGCAACGAATGCATAGGAGGTCATAGATAAAATCAGCTACCGATCCGTATCAGAAAATAGTTTCCTCTTACTTTTAATGTTTATTGGACTATCGAATTGGAGAATATATATGAACAATCTTTTGATTCAGTTGGTATAAGGAAACGCGTAAGTTCTCAACTTCCTTAAATTTATTTTTATTCAGCGATGTTTATCGAAAGTTGCATGCTTTAAAGTTAAAAATAGAATGCAGTGTGTGTAGAACCTTAATTGGCGAACGCCGACTACTAAGGCTGAATTACCGTCAGTCATTGAAAGTGCTTCGTACTCTTGGCCAAGGCTATACACACGGTATTTCGCGGTTGTATGTACCGGATTAAATGTGTGCATGTAATACTCCTGAAGCAAGTAAAAGCGATCGCACGAGTAAGTGCCGAGTTGAAGTTCAAGAGCAGTGCAGCGTATCTAGTTTCAGATCAGTTTCTCGATTGAGTTCGGGTTAATGTACGGATTCAAAATTCGATTTCAGCTGATTGGATAAATAAAACATCACACCAAAAAGTAATTTAAATATCTTTAAACAATTGTACTGTCTATTTAGATCGGCACAATTGTTAAAATATTAAAATAACTCAAATGATTTAAAACAGATATGTAAATTCTTAGTAATTTAAAAAAAAATGTTTGCAATTAAAATATGTATTTTTTTCTCGTGTGTTTTAATTATTTCTTCAAATTTTAAATAATTGTGCATAAATCAGGAACACTTACTCAAAGCTAAAATTATTTTTTTCTTTTTCTCTCTAATTATTCAGACTTTAAATAAATATTTAAATTTTAAACAATTTTTAAAATTGTATGTAATTTAAATACATACGTTTTTTTCTATAATTAGTTTAAATATTTGACGGACAGACGCAAGAGAAGATACAAATATTGCTGCTTACAAATGTAAGAGCGTATTTCTAGCGTAACTACATATGTAGTCATTGTCTTTCCGCGCTAATTCGCCTATAGCCGAGAATCCCGCTCATCTCCGCTTTCTCCCAGTTTCCGGAATTGTGGCGGAAACAGGACAATAATCCGTCACTGACATACCTAAAAGTACATTAGTATCAGCGACAGTAATTGCATTGAAAATAAGTACATGAGATAAAGGACTGTGATCTAGATTCTTGGTCTTCTCTCTGTGACTTTCAGTTTACTTTCTTAAATATTTAATAATCACATAGAGGAAGTAAATATAGCTTAACGATAAATATATTTAAAAGTTAAGAGATGTTTAAAAGATTGAAAAGAACTTTTAGAACATGTGACATCTTTGTACTTGTAATTTTATAAAAATTCCGAATCTTTTTAAAATTCATTTTAGACGCTTTTAGATTTCTTTTGATGATAAATATATGTCAAAAGTGACGTCGAAGATGGATTGAGTCGTAAAGTCTACGGGGAAATATGGGTCCGCCAAGAATAGTGTCGAAATGCGCGCGCGACGCGAGAATAATAGACCGACGGAATCGTAAAAGGACGTAAACGTCGTTACAGAAGATGTCATTAGAAATTCTAAGATCGGATGCGCGCGTCATCGGAGCGAGCGTCCGCAGAAGGAGTCCGCCTTCTGTGTGGACATTCGTTCTCGTTATCGTCACCAACGGCGCAAGAACGGCAAGACCGTTTCTCGCGACCGTACCGGGGCGAGAAGACGACCACATATAATCGCGCAACCCGATACGTGATGTACGGGGACGTCGCATCGCGCATACATTATTCGTCGGTTTTTTTTTTTAACTGTCGGTTCCGTCGTCGAGCGTTACACATTGCCGAGTTTCACCGGACGCGGTTGGAATGCGTCGCTACTGCGCGCGCGTGTGCGCGCGCGATACGGTTCACCCTTCGCATTTCTGACCCGAACGAGATACTCCGACATTAAGATAGAGCGTAAAGTGTCGCATTTCTCAAAGATAATCTATCAAGGAAACTCCTTCGAGTTCTACGTGCTTTCGCTCCCTCGCTTCATTCCGCTCACGACGCGAATCGACGCGTCGCGCATTCGATGTTCGCAAGCGCATGGGATCAATGGCCATTCGCAGACTCTAAAATAGATCCCCCCCGCGCCTTTCTCGTTTCAGATGAGTCACCTGTATGGACTATTCAGCAAACAAGTGGCACGGTTTTGCGCCGATTCCTCGAGGCCGGACTGCAACAAGAACCTGCTCGTAACCGGCATACGGAGCCTCGCCAGCATGGACGACAACGTCCTCGACAGGCTGGACCCGTATCAACGCGGCGCGAAGGAAATGAGTAAGGAAGCGTTTTCTGTAATGCCGAGAAGTGGTTTCGTATGTTTACTCGGCTGTATATCGCGGAAGAGATTTCGTGTTTACTCGGCCGAGTGAACATACAAATAAACCGTGGATACCGGCCTTGACACTTTACGCGGCCTCGTACTCAAGCTACTTGTAATGTCCTGTTTCCAGTTTGGCACGCCATGGTGGGAAGCAACAGATTCGCGTCGAGAATCAGCCACGAAACCGACGACTCTTACTTCACGACCGGAACCGATTTATTAGGTAAGTGTATCAGAAATGATCGTTCTCTTGTTATCGATAACAATAATCAATCGAAAAGTTCAGACATGACGATATAAAATATTGTCGACTATCACAGCGGTAACGTTAATCAATCGAGAATGGTTTAGACATGACGATATAAAACATTATCGACCACCATAATTTTTAGAAATATCGTGAAGATCGAAATAGGAATTTATATTACAGCTTATGTGACATAGAAATCGCAAAAGAATATACTCATAGAAAAAGAAGAAGAGTAATGAAGCCTGAGTAGTGTAGTAAACTGAGACATTAAAAATAAAAATTTTGCTTGATGAAATTTTTTACAATTTTATTGAAAATAACAGAGTGAGAAAATAATTAATTTTGTACCTCTATATTTATTACTTTCTCTAGCTATATTACTATATTTATTACTTTATCTATATTTGATTTAATCAAAACCGGCTTGCTTCAACCAAATAGAAAACAATCTTTATGATCTAAAAGAGAGATGTAAAATTATATTTCTCAAATTTTTAATCTCAACAGGATTTATTACTTAAATAAGTTTTAATAAAAATTCAGCACTTGGTGTATTATTTTTTTTTTACTATAGCCGTTTATCTTATACGAAATTTTTTAATTGCGTAGCTTCAGCTGCGTGCCATTGTAATATGAAAATCATGCAGTGAAGGGAAACGCACGTTGACCTATTCGTAAAGAAAAATGGCATTTTGCGGATTCGCTTCTTCCTCGTTTCGGGGATCTCTCCGCGATCGCGGCCTCGCGGTGGACGGAAACACATTGTACACTCGAGAAAGTTTCAGCCGCGGTTTCGATCTCGTGCTCGCGCTCGTACTCCTAGAAAGTCTTTTTTTCTCCCTTAACGATATTGCGCCCGATGGACGATAAATCCTTGCTGGTTGTCTTGGACCACGCGCGCTTTCTCCCTTCTTTTTGAAAAAAAAAGGAGAAGATCACACGGTCCATCGCGCCGACCCGAACCGATTCTCCGTTTTTGAGATTCCATTATTGGAGTCGTATTACGCTCGTCGTTCGTTAAATTTAAACTTTTTTCTCAAAGAAATAATTGAAAAACGGACAATTTTTAATTTAAATTTGTTTAAATTTTCTTGAAACTCATTGATTTAAATAATAGTTAAAAGATTACAATTTTATACATTGTTGTATAACAGCAATATTTTGATATTAAGTATTGTATATGAATATGTATTTAATTCATGTGTGGGAAGATAGAGACTTTTGAGAAATATCTCTAAGGAATTCTATTAAGTCTTCATTCGGCAATCTATTAACACAGTCTGACAGTTCTTGCATACGTAACGAACATTTGATAGATAGTGGACAGACCGCGAAAGGAGGTCACTTTTCTCAATGTCCAAGATGAGGTCCCCGGCGCGGGGGCGCACCGCGGCTTTCACATTTTCTCTATGTTGGCCCATATATACATACGTATATATACATACGCTAACGATGCATCGACACGCGATGAAAGCCGCGAACGTTGTACGCCCGTGATTTCAGGCATGATTACCGATCAATTATCGCTAGAAATCTAGCGAAAAAGAAAAGGGACTCTGTATGCTGCGTGTGCCCAATGTCCATCGGTCCCGTACGACGGGAGGGAACGGCAAGAAAAACGCGATGTTCTTTCCGTTATACATCGTCAGTTTTTTCATGAAATCAATAGCAATTATCCTTGTACACATTTCACGGTAGAGAAATTTATAACTGTAAGTACAACTTCTTTCGCTCCGGCGAAATAGATATACGCACGCAAAGTATGTACACACACGGCGCTCACCCATCGCGAGGGCAAATTCCCGCACGTCTACGTCTCGCGGAGTCCTTGTAGCCTACAAATTGACGGCATTCAACTAGTTGTCGGAAGCGAGGTGAGCACGAACTGACGTGCAGGTATTGGATTCTAAATTATCATAATGCGGAGGTCGTGCAGACCTCCTAGAAATAACCACGTGCGCAGGAACGATAAAATAGCGGCCGTTGATCCGAAATGATCTTCCCGCCCGCAAAGAATTGCGACCGTATCTTGTTCTCCTTTCATGGATCTCTTGCGGAACGCGCGGTACTGCTCTTTTTTTTCTGCCGTACCGAAATAATTAAGTGCGCCCACGATTCTGAGCCGATGACGAAGATAAAATGAGGGAAGATCGATGATTGCTTGTTACAGCATAATTTATACTTGTTATAACAAGAGACAATTATAATGTTATAATCGTATGCGTTAAAAATTATAATACTCTAACAATATATTTAATTAAATCAATTAGACATTACATACATAATTGATTTAATTAATTTAACATTATATACGAGAGAAGTTTTATTTAACGAAACATTCGGAATCTAACATGTAAACTCTTATAAAAATCTGTCGAAATTATCGCGATTGATCCCAGGCATGTATACAATTCCGATTCTTACACTCTAACGCACCAATTTCACTTGTGCGTGAAGTCATCGTGACTAAGAATTTCGTGGTACACACACGGTGCGTTATAGGAACGGCTTTAACAAGTGAATCTTAATGAAGTATACAGACAAGGATTTCGCTTTGGGGGCGCATGTATAGTACTTCCTGGTATCCGTTGCGCCTGTATAATGAATCTCTGTTACTTAATCCACGGCAATTATAAGCCAACCAATCATTTTCGAGTTAAGTCACGCTGGTGCATTTGTTTAACCCAATCTCTCTTTCGTCTTGCAGCGAGCAGCGGTAGCGAGACGAACGGCCTCGGTGAGGAGACCGTGGCGAGCGGGGATTACCAGTCGTCGGAGTCGACCGGGCCGTATCTCGCGGGACCGATGGTGATACGGGTCTACCCGGACGGCCGACCGGTTCCCGAGGACCAGAAGCGCCCGTTGCCGAAGGACGAGGACGCGGACGAGTTCAGATATTCCCGCCTGCCGTCCATCGAGGAGATCGAGGCTAAGAGCGGCAGCGTGTTCTACGGGAAAGGCACGAACGAGCCGTCGATCGTCAAGAGGAGGATGTCCTTCGCCGCTTCCAACGACAAGAGCTATCGGCGACCGGAGACGTTGCGTCTTCGCGGCCGTCCGCTGCCCTACGAGAGGCCGGTGTTCCGGGGCGCGTTGAACGAACGCAGAGTACATTACTATTGAGGAGATATGTGTCTCGTGTCTCTCCTACCTGACACCAGATACTTCCCGCGGAGCGGCTCGCACCGCCTCGTGATAACGAGACTTTTCGAAAAATAAATCGCCGTCCTGCGGAGAGAGACAGATGAGAACGGCGGACGTGCCGGCTGCGGTCTCAGACGACGCGTGGAAGACACGCGGGGAAAGTTGAAGATATACAAGCGGTACCAGTCGCGGTCGCGTCGTGGACGACGACGTAATAATAATCAGCTGTAATTACTAATTCATTGCGCATTCTAATTTATCGTCGTTGCGGTAAGTACGAAAGGGGAATTGTCGTACGCTGTTTTTTTTTTTTTTTTCGGAATCTCCGCGCTGTAGTCGAGTATTGTCGTTGGGACGAGAGAGCGCGTGAACCGAGGAAATACGTCTGAGTTCACGATTTTAAATCGCGTAAATCGGAAGAGTTTACGATTCGTAAATTCTCCCGAATCGCACGAATTGGAAGCTTGACGATTGGTCGGTAATTAGATTCCTAGAATACGAAGCGCCAAGGGGAATGTACATATTCGTACGCTGTTTCAACAATACACGCATAATCCGACCATGAACATCATTCGAGTTCCATTTATTTAATTTCATTCATTTACTGTAGTATTTATTTAATACTCAATGTGATTGTCATGCAGAAAATTTCGACAGAATCATCGATAAAAGTATTAATTATCCCAGATTGCGAATACGAGCGATCAAAAAATCTTCTCAAAACTGTTACAAAAAATTACAAGCGTATTATTTAAATCTATTCTGCTATTCTTCAACAAAACAGCGATTTGTTCTATAGTTCTTCTATATATATATTTTGTTTCCATAAATTTAATGTATTATTCCTCTTTGATATATGCGTCATCACGTCGCATAAAGGAACCAATGTACCTCGCTGAAATACCGTGTTTTGCATATGGAATATATTATATCTCAATATCGTCAATAATCGTTGAATATTACATAAATCATTTAACGTATAATAATTAGTTTGCTAAAAATTGTTGCTTTTGGAAATTTCTATATAAACACGTAGTTTGTACAATTACGATAATTATTATACTCGATGAATCACATCTGTTGAATATGCACGCAAATTGCTTGCGTAAGCAAATAATAGCATGTTTAAAAAGTCTACATTACGCATTAACGTGACGATTACGATTGATTATTACATCTATACGTATATTCATTTTACGTTTTGTAAATACTCGAGACATTTGCCACTATTAACTTTAAGTGCATTTCAATAAGATAGAACTAAAGTGTGATAAAATGTAGAACGCGTAATATATATTCGAAAGGCGAGATTAACGAGATTGCAATGTGATAAATAAAAATTAATGCGATGCGTATAATATATGATATGTATAACAATATGTATATCCACACGTACACACACCATACATACAAAAACACTGCAAAAAAGATTGCAAGAAATTTAATATGATGGGAAAACTCTTCCTCATAATGTTCGAGGATGAGTTTTAATGTTACAATGACTATTTTTTAATATGTCGCTGCTAAAAATTCTATAGTTTATAAAAATTCAAAATTATTACTTCTTTGCACGTCATTTTATTAATGCATTAATACAGACTAAAAAAACATGCAGCATATTTTCATGACAAATGTGTGTATGTCATTATACGATTGCAAATGTATGAATAAGTGAAAATATATGTATACGAATACACTGCGGAAATAGACTTAACGTTCGTAAATATTTTATTTTAGGCCTGCGGTGATAATATTCATGTAATAAATATTATATAATTAAATAGTGATATTGAATATGCATTAGAATAAGATGACTAGAGGAGATGCTTAGATCAGAGGTGTTGTAATTCATTGCATTATCTTTGAAAGTTGTATAAAAACTGATAGATATACGCATATACGCATATACTGATTTATTGAATCAATATTAATATTATAATATTAACAGATGTATACGATTAATATGTTTTAATTTATTATATCAATTCGTTCAACATGTTTTTAAACTCATATATGACACACACAAAATATAATATCTACAATATAAAAGATGTATAATAAAGTACATTATAAAAAATTATGCATATATTTTTATGTCTATATATTATACGTACAGATTCGAGAAACGTACGTGGAAAAAGAAATCTAGCTGTAAAGTAACATAATTTTTATAAAATTCATACTTGAAATTATAAATCCTCTTGTTTAAATTCGTTTTCACTTTGTCTTACATTTCTTTGCATTTTCCGTGTAATTTAATTTGAAATAAGCATATATTTAAACAATTCCGAGACAATTCAGCCGAAGGAGAACGAGAACGTGCAGAAAGTAAGACAATTAAAACAAAGTGATCACGTGTATCTCACCTTAAATTTTCCCACGCTTTTTATACGTATTCTCTCTCTCTCTCTCATTCAAGCTTAAGGCTGTTTCGCATTCCAGATGCATAAAGTCTAGAAACTCTAGAGAGGCATTCGACGCGACGGAATCGTGATAAATTTCATAGAAACCTTATCCCAGGGCGCACCTGTTACGCACACCCTTCGAACACGTCTAGCATCATCCTCGTTCATGTTTTAACCAAATAAGGCGAAGGGTGGAACAAGTATTCCGCGCGTGAGTGTGCGTGCGTGCGCGCGCGTGTTTTTTTACGTGTGCGTGCATACGTGTACGCGTGCGGGAGGTGGGTGCTGTCGCGAGGCCTATCACACGTAGACTGACGTAGACCGTAGGCCGCTGTGGACGCCGCATCCTCACCGGATCTCCCCCTCGCCCGGTCTCGTTACATATTCGTTGGGCGCGCAGAGAGGCACACAGGGGTGTCGCACCGGCGGGATGTCGTACGAAACGAGTAAGTCGCGGTGCGGAGAAATACGCACGTAACCGGCACGCCGATTTGCTTTGCGTGAAGTACATATCCTCCACTCCGGTTTTCCGGTTTGCTTATCTCCGGTCGGATCGCGAGGCGTTGCGACGCGCCGCCGCCGGGACGACGGAAAACGGACGGTTCCTCCGCGATCTCAACGCCTGTCCCTCGCGATCGTTGCTCCGCGTAAATCGCGATTTACGTATCTCGCCCGCTTCTTGCCTCCGGCTTCACTCGGTGTCCGAAGCGTTGTCACACATGTGCCGTGTGTGACACGATACGCCGCCGGACGCACGGCTGATGTCAATGTGCATATACAGGGTGCTCCAAAGTTATTGGCGTTCCCACTCCAAGGATTCGTTCTAAGGCGATTTGGAGCATATGCGCCGTTTTGCGAGAATATCGAGATTGAAAAGACGAAAATCTTTTTTCGCGGAATGAAAATATTAATGTAGTGCCCGATGCAAAGGAATAATAAATTTATTGTACAATTTCGAATTATTTGTACTTTGTTGGAGTCTTAATTTTTTAATTTTTATTATTAAAAATTTTACATTAAAAATTAAGGCACTATGTCGAAGAAAATTTGATTATAATCGAATTTTCATAAAAAGTCAAGTAAGAAAAATATGTCAAACTACTGATGCACCCTGTATATATACACAGTCACGCAAATAAAAAAAAAAGATGAATCACAAATACTAAGTACCAAAGCTTAATCGGATCTTAGATAAGATTTACTCTCGATATTGTTCTTATCAAGCCAAAGTAAGACAAAAAAACAAAAATTATTTTGCAGTAATTATGTATTAAAATATTAAATATTTATATTGGTAAAAAATTTTCTAATAACAAAGAGTCGTAAATTTTTTATATTTATCAAGGGAAACATTTGCAAAAGAAGGAAGAAAAGAGAGAGAAAAAAAGTATTATATTCGAGATAATGTATATTACTTAAAATAATTTATTTTGCGAATTGTCTTATTAATGCGCGTAAAAAGTAAAATTGTTTTTAACAACATTACTTCTGGAACTATTGCATGATGCAGAATAAACTGCATGTAGTTTGTTAGCGCTCAAAATAATTCGAAATATTAGGAGCTGGATCCATGCCAATGTATCAAGGAAGAGTATTTTGGTTCCAGCACCTGGATGTATTATGCGTTGTTCGCGTGATATTTGATCTCTTCTGCGCTCGTGTGATAATATTTCTCAGATAAACTTGATTATTTGTTTTTAATTACGAATTTATTATTTAATGTTACGAATAATTTATCACAATATATAATTACAGAGCACATAATATATACACAATTTTTTTAAAAACAATACAGAATATAAAATGATAATAATATTATATGATATTATTAAAACAATTATATTGAAAAATTTACCTGTCGTATTTTTTTTTAAATCTGTAAATAATATTTTATTATATATTTTAATATTATAATGTATACTGTGAAATAATGCTACTAATATTTAAGTATCTGGATATTTTGAGTATTAACCGATTATAAAATTATTTCTAATATTATTTGAATTTTTTAATTTATTTGAAGTTGCTCCTGTTTCTTTATCTTGCATATAGTTTCTGATTTTTTATATTACAGAATATATATTTGCTACATTACCGAGGACTCAAAGGGGACAACCTCTTGTACTAGGCGGCGATCCTAAAGGAAAAAATTTTTTATATACCAATGGTAACAGTGTCATCATTAGAAATATTGACGTGAGTTTCTATATCGCAATAAATGCGTATTGCCAATCAATGGACGTATCAATTTGCATATCTCTGAACATTGCAGAATCCAGCAATTGCAGATGTTTATACAGAACATTCTTGCCCCGTGAACGTTGCCAAATATTCTCCTAGTGGTTTTTACATAGCTTCGGGAGGTACGTGATACTTTATTTACAACATCTACTTGTTATAAAGATTTTTAATTACTCGGAGATTATATGTATGTGTGTAATCTTTACGTGGAAATTATCCATAATAAAATAATGTAGTGCATAACATTTGCTATTTGTAATTTTTAATGATTATGCATTATCCCTTTAACTATTTATCGAGAATTTTGTAATAGAATATTCCACAGCAAGTGGACTTTTTTTCAGTTGATTCTTTTTTACATTCGATTTTGATACATGAAGAAACCAATTAGAGCATGATTTTATTTCAGATCAATCGGGTAAAGTGCGTATTTGGGATACAGTTAACAAGGAGCATATATTAAAAAATGAATTCCACCCCATTGGCGGACCGATTAAAGATATTGCTTGGTCACCGGACAGTCAGCGCATGGTCGTGGTCGGGGAAGGAAGAGAAAGGTATACTTTGCTCACTAGAATGCGTAGAAGTAATATCATGCGTAGAAGATATATCACTGCAGATGAATTGAGCACATTAAGGAAATAATATTAACGTGTTAATATTAATTACGTTTAGATTTGGGCATGTCTTTATGGCAGAAACAGGGACGTCGGTGGGCGAGATCTCTGGCCAAAGTAAATCTATCAACTCGTGCGACTTTAGACCGGCCAGACCGTTTAGACTAATAACTGGAAGTGAAGATAACACCATCGGTGTATTCGAAGGCCCTCCATTCAAATTCAAGTATGTACCTGAACGGAATTTAGTCTGTGTTTTGTTGAGAGTAAGAATTCTACTTCATGTGATTCATTGCGTGCTATTAGGATGACGAAGCAGGAGCATACTCGTTTCGTTCAAACCGTACGTTATTCTCCCGACGGAAATCTGTTTGCTTCCGGCGGATTCGACGGGAAAGTATTTATATATAATGGAACAACCTCTGATTTCGTTGGGGAAATAGGATCCCCTGCACACCAAGGTGGAGTCTACGGGGTATGTAGTCTAACTTTGATGTAATGTGACTTATGGCAAATTATTTATAATAAATGTAAGCGAGCGACACATTTACATTTTACAGGTTGCATGGAAGCCTGACAGCAAGCAATTATTAACCGCCTCCGGAGATAAAACTTGTAAACTGTGGGATGTAGAAACGCGTTCTTTAATTACCGAGTTCAACATGGGAACGACGGTCGACGATCAACAAGTGAGTTTGTAACTCACATAATCAGTTTAAAAGATACACCGAAAGGCAGTGTGCAATAATCTGTGTGTTTTTCAGGTGAGCTGTCTGTGGCAAGGAAACCATTTATTATCCGTGTCACTTAGCGGCTTCATCAATTATCTTGACGTTGATAATCCTGACAAGCCTATAAAGATAATAAAAGTAATTCCTGCTTCTATTGATTAATTTTTTTTTTTAAGTTTGAATTTAACTGCTTTTAATATTTTTTGCAATTTTGATCCGATATTCTTTTCAGGGTCATAACAAACCAATAACGGTGCTAACATTAAGTCCTGATAGAGGTACGATTTACACTGGCTCGCACGATGGCTACATCACCAATTGGAATGCGGAGACAGGGGAAAACGATCGTGTGCAAGGGCACGGTCATGGTAATCAAATTAACGGGATGAAGGCCACGGGTAACCTGCTCTATACCGCCGGCATCGACGACACTTTAAGAGCAGTCGATATTGCGACGAATGCATACGCGGAGACCAGTGTGGTAAAATTGGATTCGCAGCCACGAGGACTGGACATATATAACGATATAGTTGTCGTGGCTTCAGTTCGACAGGTAGATCGAATGTTCACAAAGATAATTTTCTTGATTTCGCGAATTTATTTAGTAAATCTAAAATATTTGGCAAGTTTAAAATTAGCTGTAAGTGTAGCAAGAATAATTTTTACTCTATCACAAGACTTACTAAATATATTTAAAAAAAAGCGATAAGCATCTTTGTGGACACTTTGCATCTGTAAATTTCAGGTAATCGCGTAACAATGGTATTATTGTTGGTACTGTGTTTTGCAGATCGCAGTTACACGAGACGATAAAAAGTTATCAAGTTTATCAATCGATTACGAGCCATCGTGCGTGTCAATTAATCAAGAAACCGGAGATGTAGCTATTGGCTCTACATCTGACAATAAAGTTCGTCTCTTATTTATATAGTATACAAAAAAATATAAAAGTTGACTCGCGCTATTATCAATCTTTGTATAATTTATATGTAGGTTTACATTTACGAGTTGTCGGACACTACATTAACTCAAAAGACTGAACTAGAACACCTGGGTCCAGTTACGGATGCCGCATATAGCCCTGATAATAAATATTTAGTTGCCTGTGATGCAAACAGAAAAGTTATATTGTACGTTGTGCCAGAATACAAGGTAAAGTATACTTTATACAAAGAATAATTTCGAATCATTTAGATTCAGTGCACAGCTAAAAATGCAGCTGTAAATTTTGCACGATCGAGTATTTGTTATATATATAAAATCAGTAATACTCTTAGAAATGCAAAAATAGCAATAACACTTGAAGTTCACTTAATTCAAAAAGTTTCGCTTTTAACGTTATAATTCACCATATGTAACAAAAAGCTAATAATCTTAAATACTTAATTCTGTTTAGAGCTATAATACTTAAATTATTTATCTACTAAATTTAATTGTGACGCATTACGTTGGCAATATTTGCTATGCATAGAGTAATTAAGCATAAAATAACCATGCTTTCTTTAATGAATTAATTGCTATTAATGGCTTGTTATGTGCTTATTGGATTAACAGAGGGTGAGTAGTACATACATGGAACTAAATATCTGTTATATAAATATAGTTTAGAAAAAAATATGTTAAGATATAAAATATTTAAAATATTTTTTATTTGATTTGCAGCTTGCACACAATAGAGAATGGGGCTTTCATAATGCAAGAGTAAACTCTGTTGCATGGTCTCCAAATTCTGACATGGTTGCAAGCGGTAGCCTCGACACCACCATCATCATCTGGAGTGTGACAAATCCAGCTAAACATACCATCATCAAAAGTAAGCGTAGAAAATGCCCTTTTGTAGAACAAACCGCAATTAACGAGAATTTCACGTTTTCAGATGCTCATCCGCAGAGTCAAATAACACGCTTGGTTTGGCTGGATGAGGAAACATTAATCTCCGTCGGACAGGACTGCAATACTAAGATATGGCGTATAGAAAAGATATAATTTAATAAGATTAACTTTTGGAAGAATTTATTGCCACTTCTAAGGAAACTCAATTTTGGAGGCATTTTATTTATTTCGTAGTCTACAAATATTGTGTATATTATTTTTTAATACAATTCTTGATATATGATTAAAAAATTATATTGCAATCTCTTTTTGCATCTTTTGTATCGACTTTATTAGTAGAATAATTCACATCCCATGTAACTGAGGGCCACGGCACACAGGAAAACGTAAGTAGTAAACGAGTTGGCCAATCGTACGAAATATCGAAAATGTATAACAATAAGCAGTAGCAAATCAAACATGTTGACATCTTACTGCTCACGTTTTTTTTATGTGCTAGGCCCCTTAGACTCTGCAGCTCACCGGCCACAGCTTTGTTTTTTTTTTTGCACAAATGTAAAGATATTGCATTTGCACTAAAAGTCACACGACTTATCTAATTTGTCTTTATTAAAACGATGTAACAATAACAAGAAAACGATAACAATTCGAACACTAAAGGTCTTCAGGAACATGATCACACTTTACTTTGTACACTTAACGAAGATGTTATTATGACTGTGTCTTATCATTAATCAGTCCGGTGCTGCTCTTACAAATTCAATTATGTTCGTAATCTACCGTTCATAGGTAGGCATATTCATTCTATGAACTTTGTTACTAAATTATTCTCTAATTCAACATATTTAGAACAATGCTCTATCATTTTTTAAAATATATTTGGTAAAATATCTTTTCATTTCAATCTCTCTTTTTCCTTTCTCTTTTTGTGTAATTCAACGCAAAAAGTTAAATTTTTAATAGAAAGATACAGTTTAATAGAAAGGTATCCTAGCGAGGGTTAAAGTGTCTATGTAGAATAACACAATAATGACTTTTACCATCATATTATTGACGGTTTCGACGTACTATACCGTGGACGTTTCTGAGAAGAAGCTACCGGGTGCCTGTAGGACACGTGTTTCCTGAGAGCGTCTCGCGATCGCGACACGTGCGAACACGACGTGCAGCTGTACGAGCTATTGCTATGCGTCTCCATGTGTACTCGCAAGTTGTACTGATTGCTCAATTGTTTACCACAGATAAGACAAGTGACACTGGACTTGTTGTAAGTCTGGGAAGTCCTACTGGGCGCGGACGCCGCGAGCAACTTGAAACTCGCGTCCCACACGGCAGGCGGTGGTTTTACGTCCTCCACAGGCGTGGCTTGATCCTCCACGGTCGGCGCTGCCTCGTCCACTATGCTCTCCGAATAGCCTCTATCGATGTACTTGTTAGCAGACACGCCAACAGGAACAGACGTTTTTTCCCTTTGGTTTAGCTTCGCGTTTATCGAGTAGTAGGGCTTCGTCTTCACGCAATACGGTATACTTTCTTGATCGTTGCTAGGCTCCTCGTCCTCCAGATTGTTGTCCATCACTTTAGGCAATGATATGGATTCCGACGATCCGGGAGCCATTATTATATTGTCCTTCGACTCCGTCGTTACTATCTCCTCGCTCAATCTTTCCTGAGGTTGCAATACTGGCGACTGCACATACAAGCCGTTATCCTGTCTCGAATTTTTCTGAAATAAGAAGACACGCGCATCATGTAAATTACATTTAAAAATTATCATATTTCTCCATTAAAAACACTGCACCATTAAAGACAGCCATTTTAGAAAAGATATAATCTAAATGTGTATTATGCTTTATATTAAAAATATGTTAAATTACAATACAAAATATTAAATAAATATAACATATTATATTATAAAGATTTATACAAGAAGGTAAAATCACTTTCGACAATTGCAACGTATTTTCTAACTTTTGCAGAGTGTGGATATTGATGACATACAACAATGAACGTATCTTTTAAAATTCAAGAAAAATAAGCTGAAACATATTTTTATATATATATATTATACAACAGCTTATGCATTGCACATTAATTATATATTTTTGTGCAATTTATTTGTATTTACTTAAAGTCAATATTAGAACATATTACTTAAGGATATTTAGCATGATAATTTTTAAAACATCATTCTTTTGATTTATATTGTCTTCGAAATATACATTTTTTAAATAATAGTAAGTGTTCCTAACAAAATGTCTAATTCTTTGTGAAAAATATTTAGTCAAGAGTCGTCATTGATCTCTAACAGTTTAGCACATAAGAATCCCAAGATCATTGTATCTGAAATTTATTTACAAAAATCATTTTCTGTTTCCATGCATTGTCTTTTTTTTCCTTCAGCTAATAACGTCTTTAGAATCGACAAATTAGTGCTAAACGTTTGTTATCATCACACTTGACTAAATTGTTAAGCATTATTGTATTGCGAAAGAAGAAAACATAAATGTTGTATGAAATCGCCGTTCTAAACTTCGGTAATATATAGTTTTTTTTTTTAGTAATTTAGAGATTCATGGAAGAAGCTATTTTAGATATACCTGTCAAGTCATTCTATGGGGTAAGGTTCCATGGGATGCATCCACTTGCATTTAGTTGCAACACACACAACGATCTTGATCTCGTGGATATCGTTTTTTATTCATTATCGTTCCTTCGATGCATGTACGAACATAATATGTGTAGCGGTATAATTCCTTCGTGAAGTACTTCTTGAGGAACGACAGTGAATGTGTTTAAGTAACCTGAACAAAACAACACGATCAGGGTAATATAAAAAAGATTAAGTGGGGAACAAGCGAACGCGAATTTTGCCTCGTTCTCCGTTCTGCTGAACAAGTACGAAAGAAATCGATTGTCTGCGAATCTTTGTGAAAGTATATTTGCGACAATATTATGGTAATTCTGTAATCTCTTTTTAAGTACACTGGTATCAGACATGCATGTTAACGAGGATAGCATTTACAATATACTGTGATATATAGAATTTATATGTTTGTATAATTTAGGGATAAGACAAGTTTCTACTTAATAGATTTGCTTACAACTCTAATAAATGCTTACAACACTTACTGCTATCGCATGTAAATATTAAACGTCATATCTTTAATGTATGCAACGTGTTACAGTTTAAGAAAAAAAATTGGAAAATAATGTACTAACATATTCCATTAAGAAGCGATATTATTTATGAGCTATATCGAGTATACTATTAATCAAATATTACAATGCATAAACAGTTGTATATCAATGTTAATGAAAAAAAAAGGAGACAGAATGTGAAAGGAAAATGCATTGTGGTTTAAAATGGTGCAACTTATTAATGAAAAAGGTTGCATAAATTTTGTGTACGGCTATATATTGTATACTGGCTATATTGTTGAGCGTATCAACAATACAGTTATTTTGTGCAAATTTGCAACAGACGTATTTGTGAAGGATAAAAAAATGCTTAGTACGTATTCATAAGGAATAAGTGAAATTTGTTAGAGGGAGTCATGTATTTTCTATATAACGGCGCTTAAGAAACCCATGCTTCGTTATAAGCAATTAAAAATTTTCGTTTGAGAACAAGCGTATTAAAAAGATTAAATATTATTCATGCTAATTACCTTAAGTACTAAAAAAAAAAAACACGTCATTAATATAATAACAGACAATCGCAGTCTTTATTTCTGAATATATAGTATAACATAAAATCTTTATATATTTAGCTGTATCGTCTGTTATCTGTTTCTTGTGCACAATTAGCAAGTCTACAAATATACTCGACTTGACTTTGAAACCTAATACTAATAATGAAAAAAATCATATTTTTTCCGTGATTTGTATGTTTCAAATATGAGTCATTATTATAATTTAAAAAATTAATTAATATAAAAAAACGAAAATTGTGATTATATTATATGGACTTAAAAAATGAAAATGAATTAATACCGTATAACATGGACTTAAAATATTTCATTACTTTGTGTATCATTATTATTCGTTACATTAAGTACAAAGGCGAAAAAAATTCGATACTCATCGATAATCATTATTTTATGTGACGCCAGAAGTACTGATATAAAAAAAACCAAATTACAAGCAAAAATGAGAAGTACAATACATTCAGAAAATACAATATAAATATATTTAGAGTATTACATAATTCTATATTTTTTTGACAAACTTTTTCTAATACTTCAAAGTGGCTCCTACATCTTTTCAATATTTCGTTTAGCAAAAGAAAACACTTACCCCAGCCATGTCAGCTAATCCACAAATATGCAATGTATCAGCCATAGCTAAAAGTGCTGGTAATTGTTCTTGATAAATATTCACTTCTCCATTATACATAAACTTGACCAGAGCGCATAGATTTGCATATTCCATGCCTGGCAGCACAATAACAGGATGTTGCAAAGAGCTCAAATCCTAAAAATTCATTGGTAAAGTTCTTATTGTGCCATCAGTATAAGTTTAAGCTACATATTTGATCGTAATACGTAAGCGTCACAATATTGACATGTCATAGCGCAGATTGAATTAATTTAGAAATCCATTTATCTTGTTCAAGTGATAAAATTAACAATCTCAAATATTCCTTGTATACACTTGCATATATTAGGATGTTATTTACTTGTAAAAAAAAATCAGAAAAACATGAAAATAATATATCGATTGGAATAAATCTCTTTGAAAATGTGATGAAAAAAATCGTACATCTATTACATCGTTGATGAAAACGATATATTGTAATTAGAATAAGTCTCATTAAAAATATGACTAAAAAAATTATCGTATGTCTATTATATCGTTCAATAGATCAAGCGAAGCGGCAGCAGCGCAACGCCAAGTATATAAAAAGTTGGGTGATGGCATGCGTATAATCGTTCGCAACATAATTAGAGGCTCTTGTATATGTATAAATACCTTAAAGAGTTCTTTAAAGTAATAACTACAAGCCGAGAGTATGATTCTGTGAGCGTGAATGTGTCTACCGCCGGCGCTGAGCGTAACGTCTGTCAGATGACCTCCGTCGAGCAACTTTGGAAGCGAGCTCAAGAGAGTATTTTGAAAGTTGTGCCATCGTAAACAAAACTGTTGACCTTCCATGTCGTTGGGCCTGCTGTGGAAAGAAAGGGATATCCACATTTAATCATTTCGCATTTCACAGGGGGAGGAAAAAAAAGTTATCGGGGATTAAGTCTCGATGATTGATTAGAGAAAGAAAAGAACAGGTTAGTACAAAATTATTCTCCTGCTCCAGAAACGTTGCAGTGAAGGACGCAATTTACTCCACAATTCGGTTCGTCACCTGCACTTATACACTCCCATTTATACGCACCGAACGACATTAAACATTGCCCGCGTAATCAGGCACGTAACAATTCGATCCTCTCGTCGCGCAAAAGGTGAAAGGTTATATGTCACAAGAGCCACGAAATTGCATGGGTGAAAGGGGATTCCTTCGGTTCGAAAGAGAGGTGAGAGGGAGAGAAAATCTACGTCGCGGGCGCGAGACGTGAGGGAGACGACACCAGTCCGCGAGACACAATACTATTTATTTAATCAGGCTCTGCGGCAGGTTCCAGCCAAATCTATTATTGTACTCAGCAGGTATGGCTGGAGGAAAAGGACGGCCGTCACGCGTCCCCGCGACAGCTCGCGGCGGGCAGCTCGGGGGGGCGCCGATCCGAGGGGGAAGGGGGGGAGAGGAGGCGCCGAGACGTCGACGCGCCCGCGGGAGATCGAGAGATCGGCATCCGTTGTTCCTTACCTCGCTGAAAATCGCTGTCCGCCCCGCAAACGACCGTTCTCAGCGCACAACTGCTCCTCAGCTCCTCAGTCCTCTCTCTCTCTCTCTCTCTCTCTCTCTCTCATCTGGCAAGCGCCATAATCGTGATTGGCGCGGGTCACACGAGCACGAGAGGAGCGCGCTAATCGCGTGGCCGTCCGATGGGAGGCTCGGTCACCTGTCGACGTTGTCTCGAAACGAATTCACCGCAATTTGACGCGACGATCGAAGAGCAACTTCAAAATTGACTTATAACAAAACCATTACAGATATTACTTAACATAAATTAATCGCCAATTAATTTTTTTAAATCAGTGCGGATTAATTTACAGAGATTACTCGATCGCTGCAAAATTTCGAACTGTATATGCATAATATATAATTTATTGTTCAAAATTTAATCATTTTTTTTACTCCATTGAACAACAAAAGATTAATTATTTTATGCAAATAGTTTAGCAACAGACATTGTTTAATAAATCAATCTCTAATTTAATTAATCGAAATTTAATTGTCCCAAAGTTGTTATAAATCTTTACTTTGTGGTTACGCCACATTCGTTAGTTGCACTTTTTGCACGTGAAGTGAAATAAACAAGCTAATTATACATTAGCGAGAAAAGAAGGAAAAACAGGAGGTTCGGTACTTCTATTTACTATTTGTATTTTCATGATATCACTGCGTAATGCGTATCTATATATTCAGAGATTTATGCGTGTATAATATATGCGTGAATATAACCTATACAATTTATCTTCTTTCAATATTCCTTCTTTTTCGCCCGTTACTTGTTATTTTATTTATCTGTATCGTCGCTGTTTTTAATTTATTGCATCAAACAATTCGGGAGAAATGAATTCAATCGTGTCGTGTAAATTTTTATTGTAAATAAGCGATTGGAAAACAGCACTCAAATCACTTTGTGTCTCTAATTTCTCGGCTGAATATTTCTGCAAATTTGATTTTATATGTATGATTAACTGACTTATTGTTTTGTTTTTTGCATTTATTAATAAAAATTTCCTTGTCTGAGGATTAATAATTTTATGTATGTTTTTATAGGTAATATCTTGTAATGATGCCGATGTTGGAATCAATGGATCTGAAATCATATATATTCTCATTGGGAAAGGATGGAAAGAGACTGTTAAAATGGATAAACAGATGCGAAAAGTCTGGTTATACTTGATAGACATACTTGAGTGACTGGTTCAGATGGCGCAGTATTCTGATAAGAATGTATTATATATATATAATAGTATAATGTACGTAGCTTCAGTACTGCTCAGTACGATGAGTGAAGGTAACAGGAGCGTCACTATGGAGCAATCAGTCTGTCTGGTTATAGGATGATATCTTTTTTGTCATAAATAATTAAACGGATATCAGGTAATGCAAAAAATATTACATTTATAATGGATAATTAATTATTAAAACAATATTTAAATGTATATTAAATAATAAGAGCATATTATCTTTTATATACATATATATATATATATATTACAATAATATTTATTAAATAAATTGATTAAAGGCATTATTTATTTATAACATTAATTAAATAATTAATTAATACTTCTTTCTTGCAGATATATATATATATAGAATTTTCTTAACTTGTTGACATATAATTACTGAGTTACAACAATTATTTATGAGACATGTATTGGCTCAAGATTTCATGCATGTTATGCATGTTTGGATGTTTTAAAGACTTTCGGCCCTCTGAATCATTTTTGACCGATTATTTGACTGGACCGTGGAAAAATTTTACAGCCGATCAAGTTAGTTTAGTGAAATAATTAGTTTGATTGAACGCGCATTTAATTTTTAAATGTGATGTTAAAAATATGTTGATCTTTCAGGTGAATCATGAGATCTATCCTGTGACCACGTATTGCTACTCATTGACGTTAATACTTATGTTCCTGATCACAGATTTTATTAGATACAAACCCATCATAATACTTTGTGGTCTCTCCGGCGTTATAACTTTCCTTCTGATACCACTCGGAAGGATCGTACTAGTTTTACAGATTTCGAAATTCTTTTTCGGCCTATTTATGTCTGCTGAAGTAGCGTATTATACTTACATATATGCAAAGGTAGATAGAGTACATTATCAAGAGGTCACAAGTCACACTAAAGCGGCTTCTTTATTTGGACGGAGCATGTCTGGCATCGTAGCTCAGTTAACAGCTTCCTTCCATTTGTTAAATTATCATCAACTCAATTATTTAACTCTTTCAGGTACGTGAGATGAGTTTGAATTATAAATTACATGTGTATAAATTTTAAGTATATTATGACATTTAAATTTATATAAAATTTTACATATATTTATATATAAATTGTTTTATAGACAATAAATCATTTAATGGAAAGAGCTTTTTTATTTAACTATATATATATATAGTTAAATAAAAAATAAAAACTACTTATGTATATATTTTTTATAATATATGTTATGCATGTTATATACTTACGTGATATAATTTAATTTTTAGCTTTTATCATTGCGACATTCTGGTCACTCTTTCTGCCTTCCGTGGGTCATTCGATTTATTTTCATAGTGATAAGTGTGATGACATTTCCGATGATGAAGAGAATTCCAATGCTACTGTACAGACGACGAATCAATCACAACAAGTGTTGAGTAATTCACGGAAATCGCGTGACAAAAGTAGCAAAACGAAGCCAGGCACATTGTTTCATAAAATCAAGAATGCATATGCGTTGCTGTGGAAACACTTCGTGCTAGCTTACACTAATTATCGTGTGATCAAATGGTCGGCCTGGTGGGCTTTATCTACTTGTGGTTATCTTATGGTTGCCACTTACTCACAATTGTTATGGCAAACTGCAGTGAAGCCGGGCGATATGATTTACAATGGGGCTGTGGATTTTGCATACGCGATCTTAGGTAAGAGAAAAGCATTCTTATAACGAGACCTATCATATATGTTATTTCAATTTCATAAAATCGAAATATAAAATCAGACCAAATGATAAGAACATGAAATGAGACGTTTCTCAAGTCAAAATGCAGATATTTGAACGATAGAACTTAATAATAAGACAATGGCTTGCTTAAGTATATGCAGGACAGAAATGTTTTAATCCTTCGGATTTTTGCAAATTGTGATGTAATTAATGCCCAATTATACTCGAAGTCGTTTTGAATTGTGTGAAAAGACTTATATATTATATATTATATATTATATATTAATTAAAATTTAATTAAAATAACAGTTATAAAAAGCGCAAATCGTGCAAAAATAATGCAAAAGGATTTTAATGACAAAATAAAACAAGATATGGATATATGGACATAAAAGATAAGATAAATAATTTATTGACGAAGTGAAGACTATTGTGAACTCGTATATGGTACAAGGAGTGCAGTAAGACACAACTAAACGAAATATGCGTAAACGGACATCAGTCTGTTTACATATACATATGCTTGCTGTATTGAATTGCGCGATTAATCTCAACGTTTATAGCCACATGATCGAGTCACTGTCGCGATTAATCTCGATTTTGCTATAAGATAAGATTACAAGCAAATTAATTTGTATTAATAATCTCGATAGAGAATATTTTCCTCAATATTTTAAATAACAAGGTCAGACAGCGTAATTAAAGAACTATAATTGAACTAACTTATGTAGATAAAAGTTAGATAAACTACGTCTAGACAGTAATTTTTTACATATTTTTTTTTTTTACCAGGTGCAGTAATGGTTTTTTCTGTAGGAAAGATACCATTTAACTGGGTTCGGTTCGGAGATCCAGTCTGTTCTGTATTTGCGTTTGTAGAAGGCTCTATACTTTTGATGTCTTCTTATAGTTACAACATTTGGGCCTTATATGCCGGCTATATTGTATTTGGCGCAATTTATCATACTATGGTCACTGTCGCAAGGTAATAATTTTCCATACAATTAATACAGTTAATATTAAAGAGTTTATAATGACAATAATTCTTATTAAATAGTTTCTTCTTTCAAGTGGAAAAAAAAGCAGGTAGAATTTATTAAAATTTATCAAATATAATACTAGTAGGTTTCACACACACACACACATACACGTGCGCGCGCGCGAAATTCGGGAATCAAAACATCATAGCAAGAAAATTTTCGAAAAATTAAATAAAAAAGTAATTTGTAAAAAAATTTTTATTTTAAGCAGTAGTTTTTTAGATATAAGAGTTTAAATTTGGCCAATTATATATTGCCACTATCGACGCGCTACTCACGGACATGTTTCCGTTTAACTGTAATCTATAATTGGCCAAGTTTGAACTCTTATATCGTAAAAACGACTGCTGAAAATAAAAGTTTACAAATAATTTTTTTACTTCATTTTTCAGAGACTTTCTTGCTATGATATTTTGATCCGCAAAATTTCAGGACACCCTGTGTATATTTGTGGAAGATTGAAATAACTTTTTAATAAAATTCCGCGTAAGGGAAAAAATTGAATGTTTTGTTTTTTCTTGTTCCTAGCTTTGAGGTCGCTAAATGTATATCCGATGATAGTCATGGCTTAATATTCGGCGTGAACATATTTCTTGCATTATTGTTGCAAAGCCTACTGACGCTTATTGTCGTCAATACGATCATGCTAGACATCAGACAGCAGGTAAGAATTATACTTTGATAATATGTCAAATTTGTATATCCGCCATTAATGAGAGTTTTCGCTTTTTAGTTCCTCGTCTTTAGCAGCTATTTTATGGCCTTGGCTATGATATATATTGTGCTGAGTGTAATCAACATTCTGCGATATCGTAGAAGTATGACTCAACTGCCATACAGCTAGCTGCTAGACTGTTTGCTCTGCAATATATATCAATAAAGCGGACTAAATAAACTTTTAGATTCAATAAAATCCGCTCTCTACAAGCTATCTTTATTTCAAATCAAAATTAAAATCCAAATTATAAACTCAGAAGCTATTTCAGGAATACGATTCAATGTTGAATCAAACGAATTTTTTATTTTCTAGTAGCGAATTTTGTTGAAATAAACGGAATAAACCAAAGAGAAATATGAAATAAGGATCTTTGGATCGAATCTCCCAAGGAGCCATATTACAAGACAATCGCAAGACTAACCACGCCTCCATTCTCTAGTAGCGAATTTCGTTGAAATTAATGAAGGAAAAAAAACAGATTGTATTTATAGATATATTTTTCACAATAAATTTTATAAAAAATTAATGTGAGTGATGCACTGTGACATTGCAATTTTGTTGCACGTTTGTTTAACGTTATTTATATCTTTTGACTAAAAAAATATATACGTTGAAAATATTAATTATATTATTATTAGTGAAGAAGGCGTACGAGAAGGAAAAAAAAATCAAGGAAATTATCTAACAATAAGTAGCCTCAAGGAATTTTACACAACCGTCAGTCTCTACCGATATATATTATTTTAGTATCGATTTTATTATTTGTATATAGCTATACAGAAAAAATCACGCTTACAATTGTAAAATCGCTTAACGCTCAAGCTCGATTGCGTCGGACTTTCCTTCGATAGCGCGATTCTAAACGTGTCACTCCCGATCGCGTTATTACGTTAAAAACCGCATCCTTCCGATACACAAGTTTCAAACGATTTCTCAGTTATATCACAGAAATACAGACTTTGAATTCGAGTGTCAATTTGAAAACATACAATTACAAAATCGTGTTCGTAATGGGTGATTGAAAAGTTTGTAGAAATCATGTAAAAACCTGTGTGCGTAAACGCTAATTAGAAACGATCGAGTTCTATTTTTTAATCAACTGACTGATTTCTCAGAAAGAGAAATAAATCGACGGTTCACGTTCCTCCAAGCGATACACGCGATACATCTTGTCGTTACAATTTTATATACAGTTTTCGTAATTGCTGTTTAATAACACTTAAGACTACTGTAAGAGATAATACGGTGTTATTATAAAATGATTATAGCTATTTATATCTATATCGTCGATCTAAAAAGTGTATAACAAAGTCCACAGCATTTACGACAATCAATAGAAACGAACAAGCACTTTGTGCTTGCTATCGATAACAATTGACATGTTAAAAAAGAAAATGTCTTTGTTAGACGTCAGTGCAACGAGTAAATAAAAAATATTAACAATTAACATATTGCAGCTTAATATTTGCGAATAGAAAGTAACACAGTATTATCGCACGCAAGTCACATATGTTATAACATATTTCTGTTAATACTGTATATTACAAAGTTATATATATCAGAAAATAACTATTTGATAAAACGTGATAATGCTGTAGATTAGAAAATCGCGAGAGGTTTCCTTAATATCTTGTCGAGAAATACGATAAATCTCGTCTCGTTATGTTAGGCACAAATATTTCTATACTACTAAGTAGCATATTTATTCTAAAACGTGTTTATAACGCGCAAAAATTTTCATTACTTTACTTACTAAATTGAAAACTTGGTTTTCAATTGTTTTCAGTACTTAAAGATCTCAACAATTGTAAGATGAAAATTTGCAACTTTGCACCGCAGCGGAAAATTGTCTTAGGGCCATTTAGCATCCAAAGAAATAGTCGAAAAGCTATACGGAAATCATTTTCTTCGGCGCTAAATAATCCTAAATTCTCTCTCTGGTGCAAAGTTAACCCTGTCAATGCAATCTTATGCTCGAAAAATTGGCTCTAATATTAATATTGATAACAAGAACGCACCTTGTACAAAATCATAAAACCCTTCGTCCCGTAACGCCGCAGGATCGAAAATATCTTCGACCGAGCGTACGCGAGCTGAATTATAAAAAATTTGGAATGGAGATGCAAAAGAGAGTGACAAAAAACGCACGCCACGTGCTCGACTCAATTCGAGAGACTTGTAAATCCCGTTTATATATGTCTAGAATCGATATAAAATCCTGTGTATCCTCGATATGTTTCTAGCTACATGTATACGTATGTACGTTCAACTACTCTGTAATAATCTTGATATTTAGACCAGCGTCTTCGCTATATCCATAAATCTCGAAGATTGTCCATAAATTTTTGTAAACTTGTACTTGTTGCTTTGCATCAGGTATCTGGATCGTTGCGTGTATTGTACACGCGCTATATTATCGAATGAATCGGAAATCTTTCGATAATATCCATTCCTAGACAATATTCATTCCTAGACATTGCTTCCCGATATCGATAATGCATCGATCGGCGGTTCTTATGATATGTGAACCGCTTCTCGGTAAAAATTATGACAATACTTCTCTTAAATACTGTTAAAACGTGTTCTCTCTAAGCATATCTCCAATAATTCCAATTTCAAAATCTCCTCGAAATAAAAGATCAGGAAATTCTTTCCTGTAACGGCCTCACGCGGTATCCTTTCGCGGTCATTTTTAATTATAATATCGCTAAGTCTTTCATATTTTTACATTTGTCTAATTGGTCCGCAGATACCGATCGATGTTCGAATTTCCTTTGATTCTTAGAGTAAAGAGAACAAATCTTATTGCGTTAAAACCACCGAATCTCCTGAATGTGTCTAAACGTACCGTAGAATAAAATTGCTTAATGTGTTATCATAAATTATTAACACGTGTTCTGCTTTTTTCTTTTTCTTCTTTAAGGTGCGCAAAAATGCCATACTACTGTGGTCCTTCTCCGTGAAGTAGAGTGAGTATAGCGTTTCTGAGAGCGAAATTCGCGGTAAAGGAAGTATCGTGCAACGGCTCGTTCGTCATTGGACTGGTGTACTTTCCGCATAGGAACCATTCGTTTATAGCCGCCCTCTCGTAAGTAAATCCATCTAGGAATAATAATTGCGCACAATTAGATTTACCAAGATAGACATCGCGTAGATATTTCGAAATATTTTTCTGATAAAGAAACGCTTTTTCGTGCGAATATTTTTTACCTGAGCACTGCACGGGTTCTTTCATTATCTCGTGCGTTATAGGACACAAGAATTCATGGGGGATCTCAGACTCGTCTATATTCTCCATAATATTGCAATCTTCACGCTTCAGCCAGTATAATTGTTTCTTCAATATTTCCACCGCCTGTAAAGATTTTAAGTTTATAATGAGTTTTCGATATAACGACCTAGATAGAATTATCGTAATGCTGTGCACCTCTTCGTCATCTTCGATTTCCAACCGGGATATCAATTCATTTTCTGACACGGATAGCAAATGTCGTCCTGTCAATCCCAGAGCGAGCACCTTCCTGGACAGTCTGGATAACCCAATGTCATTCAACCATTTCAAAGTATCGTATAGTTTCCAATCCGCGACCTGGATGACAAAATTTTATCAAATATCACCCAATTCGCGTATGTTTCGCTCATTTAGCATAATCGATTCGTTTAATTACTGACCCTCTTCTTCTTGTTTCGCAAGCTATCCATCAAATTACTTTGCGACACCAATTGCTGAGGCACCTTCCAAACCAAGACAGTTTTGTCCAATGCGCCTAAGAAAATTAATATTATTAACGTTAAAATATTTTTTCACCGATATTTATATGTTTTATATATAAAATGTGATAAGTAAATTTTTAGTTAAGCTTAAAATTTGTAGAATTTACAGAAACAAGATTCGCAAAGTAAACAACTTATATAAGAATAAGATATGCACAACTTGATAGTTGAGCTGTATGTATATGAATTTATTATATTATGCAATGTGAGTCATGAGAGATGTGAGTCATGGCAGTTTCAATACCTGTAGCGAAGAATGACGTGTCCTCGGAAAATGCGCACGACGTAACAAGACTTTCGTGATCCTCCAGGACGTACAAACAGCTTCCGGAAAACTGAAAGCACATCGATCTTCGTGAACATGTTCTCGTGTGTTTTTTCTTTAATCAAGCGCAAACGTCTTTGTCGCTCACCACGCTCCATATCCGAGCTGTCCTATCTGTCGCGACGCTACCCAGAACTTCTCCGTGGACGGGCGAGAAACGGACGCACATTACGTTTCCACCGTGCCCGGTCAAAGACTTCTTCTCCTTGTAACGCGATCCGATGTTATTCGAGCCGTCGTCATCGGGTGATGGATCATTTGAAATAATTATATGCCATAGTTTAACCAACGAATCGTTGCCGCACGTAGCCAGTAAATATATCTGCTGGTTCACATCTGTGTCCCTTGCTGCAAACGATCGTTGATTTTTATATTATTTACCAAAGATTTCTATAAAGTAGTGGATATTAATTTATTGATTATGATTTTAACAAAACTGAAAGTAGTAATGATTAAAATAGTTTTTTTCCTTACACGAACTGCACATTAAAGAGCATGGAGTAGGACTGAAGTCGCATCCCTGGACACCTAGATCGTGACTCGCGTCGCAAACTATCAATGCCTCTTCGCTCTTCTCGTCCAGAGTATCGAAGAGACGCCAGGTGCCCTCGTTGCCCGCGGTCACCAAGTATCGGGAGTCGTGCGTAAATGCAACGGTCGAGATCGCGTCGGCGTGACCCTCGAAGACACTGTAAAGTTGCCTAACGGTTATAGTTAACTGTCTACAAGTTGATCCATCGAGTCACTTACAAAAATCGCATCAAATTAATTTTTATACTATTACTTTATATTATATATAAAATTGCTCCGCAAAAAAAGCCATCTTTTTATTTAAGATTATATACATACAATTGTGACACAAAATTTATGATTTTAAGATACCTTCGAATTTTTATCTCTGAGATTCTCATCCTTAAAAATTTTAGTTTATAATTTTAATTAGTTTTCTTTGCGAATTATTGATTGTTCTAATATATTAATGTGCATACGTACTGCAACTGATCCATAGTTTCCACGTCCCACAGTGTCGTCTTCTCGTCGTCACCAGCGGTGGCGATCTTCGTGCCGTCAGGCGACCACCGACACACGCGGATGCCTGTCCCGGAATTGACGAAAGAGGATTTCGCTTGCTCTCCGGTCTGTTAACAGAAAATTGTCCGTAAGTAAGAAACTAAAAGTACAAACGCTACGATCGCGAAGAAATCGTTTACCTCTGTGTTCCAAACTAAGGTCGTCCCGTCGAGAGAACAGGAGGCAAGCATCGAACCGCACGGGCTAAACTCCACATAATTGACGCTGTAGGTGTGAGCGTCGAGTGGGCTGAACGGTTTTTCCTGTACTTTAATCACTTCCTCCCCATCCTCCTCCTCCGTTTCGATACTCCAAATGCGCACGAGTTTATCACTACAGATGAAAAAGAGTTGCGTAATTGCGTAATCGTTAGTTTCACAACTTCGAGGACTCACCCTGACGCCGAGGCTAAAAGATTATTTCCGTGGAAGGCAACGCTGTTCACCGCGCCGCTGTGCTCCTCCAATCTCTGAATCAATCTTACTTCGTTAGCGTACGTCTCGACATTTCTCATTAGATCGTGCTCGTGCATGGTACTCTAAAACGGAGACTCTCGTTAATGCTATCATTTGCAAATTATTATCCGTGACCAGCGTACCTTTTCAGGATCGAACCACTTCGTTCCAACGTTTCTCGAGAGTTCCGAATCGATAGTCAAGTTCCCCGTCAAGTCCCACGCAATCACCGATTTATCATTAGAGCCTGTAATTATATTAAATGCCAATTGTCGTGAAACGAACTTATCGTAAACTTTTCCGAAAAAAGCAGAGACATTACCTGTCGCTAATAAGCTTCCGTCACGTGAAAAAGCGCAGCAAGCTACGTATCTATTGTGACCGGAAATTATCGTCACAATCTTTCCTGTGCTCTATAATTAGATAGAATTAGATTAAAAATGATGAAAAAATTAGATCAAATCAGTTGATTCTTCCTTCAAGACAAATCTCTCACCGTCTCCCAAATTACTGCCGTTTTATCGAGGCCACAGCTGGCAATATATAATCCGTTGCTGCTGAAACGGACGCAAGTTAAGGCACTGCTGTGCTTTTCCATCACTCTGCAAAGCTGTACAGTGGCAGTAGAGGGTTGGGCCTCGCACTTATTCTGGCTCACCGTGACTTCCCACAATTTCACGTCGTGATCGTTGCCGCACGAGACCAATTGATAAAGCTTGGTATACGGCTCGTTACCTGCGATAATAACGTCATTTATCATGTACAGTAAGTCTCATCTTTCTCACCTGTTCAAAACAACGTGTATGTAATATCCGCTTACATGTGACTTCTTGGAAAGTCGAGAAGTCGCAGCAAACCACTCCCATGTCGTGAGCATCGTCGATCGAGACGAGTTCGGCGATATCTTGATTGCTAGAGGTACAAGTGTCGATCAGTTCGGCAGTGGAAAACAGCTTTAGGACACCCAACGTGCACGAGGTGATCAGCCAGCTCGAGTCCGGCGAGAAGGATAGGCTTTGCACAGCACCCTCGTGCTTTTGAAAACATCTACAGACCGAGATATTATATGTCTCATGATAACTTGAATTAGAACACTAAGAAAGAGCGAACGTTAATTACTTTGGAAAAAGCCTTGGACTAGAGCATACTTTTCATTGAACTGCTTAAACAAAAGAACAATATATATCCTCCGTAAAAGATCTTGCCTGATTAAATTGCGATGAACCAGATCCCAGATACAGACTTGCCCATTATCTCCGGCGGTCGCGAGTAACGTCGAGTCCGGCGAAAATCTGCAGACTCTCACCGCTTCGCCGCCCATTTGCACCATAGTGTGTATCTTCGTCCCCGTCTTCGAAACGACATAAATTTACATTAACCCAAGGCAATAATCGCTAGAACATGATTTACGATTTCAGACTTTTTACGTGAAACGACTGTATTCTTTTTATCGTTACTTGCGCAGCTAACTATAACTCGCTTTGACTTCTATAGATATGCATGTCGAATCAAAGATTCATTGTATCATTAATTTTTGAAATCGCAAAGAGAAAGTCGTGTTACAAAGCGCGCGTTCGCTACTTGCGCTCTATATTTTTATATAATTTTTCCACATTTTTAAACCTACACGCAAGTTCCAGAGCAGCGTGGTACCGTCTATGCTGGAGGTGGCCAGCATAGTGGACTGGGGGCTGACCTTAACCGAGGTCACGCCGTACTTGTGTCCCATCAGGGGTGAAAAGTAAGCCTCCACGTAGCCAGTGCCGGGCTGCCATTCCCAAACCCGGACGTGTTTGTCCCTGTGTGCGTGTTAAAAAAAAAAAAAAAAGACAGAGTGGAGATGAGCGTCGACCGCGGCTTAATACGCAGCGCGCGCCCAGCGCGCCGCGGAATTGTGCGCATATCGATAACCGATATTTACCCGGATCCCGTTACCAGAATGCAATCACCGGCGAAGTCGACGCTGTTTACATCGCTGGTGTAAACTGTCAGAGTCTGCAAGGCTTGCACGTCGCCTATGGCAGTCATGTTTTTTCAGATTAACGGGGTTCTTAGCTGTAAAGACGGTATGAAATGTTAATCAGCTGTGTGTCACTTCTCAAAGTCAAACGTCTAATGTCGTCTACTTTAAATTAAAGGGTTACGTGGTCAATTTTTCAACGCGGGAAACAATATACACAGCTCGAATGTGTCGTGTCATCCCTCTTGTCGACGGTACTGCTAAAGGAATGACGGATGATGAATTAATATCGCCGCCGGGGATGAAACTGTCTATCGATTAAAAACGGAGTTATATACAGACACGTAGACCACGACGGCAGATAGATACTGAACGTCAGAATATCGACGAGCCGTGATATCATATCGTTATATCATATAAGCCGGCGTTATAACTTCGATGGTATCTAAATTGATTATCATTTGTCGTGACGGGTATCTTTAGAATTGATGTATTCCTTCGCTGGAGGTATACACTCTGTCCATAGTTGTCATGTAAGAATGTCGTAAGGGTAACGAGGCACGTGAGGCACCTTTAACCTTCGCTTTTCGAACGCTCACGAAGCACATGTGCATGCGTTTCTCAATAATACATGTCCTGAATCGACTAACTTCTTCTAACAGGTGGGAATAAAAGGCAGCGGGGTTTCTCAAGTTTCTAAAAGTCAGACAGCCCTTGGCATTGACCGCCGCCGCGCGGTCATTAAAGACATTCCATGCAGGCGATTGATCCACCACGTACATTTTAGTCTCATCATCGTAATTGATTTTGCATTCACGGCCAGGGACGACATTCATCTATATCCCGTCCGTCTGGGAATTAACCGCCTGCAATTAAATGCCGCAATTTCGTCATTAAGACAGAGTCGTTCGGTCTCGAGCCAAGGCGGAATCGCTTAATTTTTTCTCGGGACACGAATGGAAAATTCTATTGTCCATTTTAAATATTTCAGATGTAGATTAACTTAATTTCGGTTTGAACGTGATTGAAGTTTACAGCTAATATAATATGTATATTTCGCGTTCTATATAAGATTTTTAATTTCCCCTTCGTCTATTTATTTATAACGCGATAAAGCTTACGGTTAATGTAATTTCACATTTTCGGTTCAAATTACTTTTTGTTTTTTTTTCTTATAATTTTAAGAATCTAAAAAAAAAATAGTTTTTATATCGAGATTAAAATGAAATTACATTGGTAGAAATAGACATTAGTACAGTATAGTAGCCATCACATTAATAATTTCTCCAGTTACCTGCGTACCCTGGCCACTCGATTTTTTTCGCAATACTCCGGAATTTATTACGAGCGAAACGGCAATTTTTCGCAACGTAGAGACGGAAGTGTCGGACTTAGACTGTGACAGTGACACTATCGCTGACGCTGACGTGTACGTAAAAGCCATCGATTGCGCTTATCTGTTTCATCTACGAACGAAACGGACGCAAACATTATATTGCATTATTACAGCCGCGATCGGTATCGCGATTAAAAAGGAAAAATAGCTCGCTATATAAAGCATCTCGCCGTCGATTGTATATAATTAATCAGATAAGGGCACAGAGCACAGGTCCCAGCGTAGCAAATAATACGTTCGAAAACTGTAATGCCGTGCGATAAACAAAAAGATATTGTTTATGCACGTGGCGGACACACGACGTTATCTATCTATTTTACGCGCAAATATTTTACGATCGTAGCGAAATGCATTATCCTTCGGTATTTGAAGAAAAAATTATAGAAAGTAAATTAAATAAACGTCACGTTGTGCCTTATTCATACGCGAGCCTAGAAACTTACAATAACGACAATATTAATCGTAATGAAATTGATGGTGCAGATATTTTAATTTTTAATCCCAACATGCAAAATTACCAATCACGTAGACTTCATTATGCTTATAAGAACATAAATAAGTGTACAAAGGGGAAATTAGAAATTTTTATAGAATGTGAAATTACATTAACCGTAAGCTTCATCGCGTTATAAATAAACAGACGAAGGGGAAATTAAAAAGTCTTATAGAACGCGAAATATATATATTATATTAGCTGTAAACTTCATAATAAAGATATAAACGAGCACATGAAAAGGAAATTAGTAAGTACGTAGAATGTAAAATTATATTAAATGTAAACTAAATGAACATATAAAAGGGAAATTGGATATCTTACGTATCTTATCTGCCGCAACTTGATATATCAACTCGTCACTCGGTCCGAAATTGACTTTCATCTGTCGCGTTTGAAAAACGCCGCGTGTGTTTACCGAAGAGTTAAATGACTCCGAAACATATTAATACCGCCAGTATTAAGCGTCTCGAACGACGCAAAAATAGCTATTTAATAATAATTCATCCGTTACGGCTCGCGTGGGTGGCGAGCCGTGTTATTTAATCCGTTATCAAGCCATTGAACCTTTCATTAAATTATTGACCAACAGTAAATCAGGAGTCAATCAAGCGGAAAGTAAATCGACGCTCTCTCCGAGGAGCATCTCCCTCCTGCTAAATATACATGCTCGTTAGAATCGTCAAGCGTTCAGTTAACAAATCCGACGGATGAGATATATATATATATATATATATATATATATATATATAATTGTTTGCGGTTTTGCGACTTAATTTTCCCCTCGCGTTGCTCCTCGTTCGGACGACGGGCAATTTTCATCGTCACCTCTCCTCATCTCGTACTCACTCGTAGCAAAGGCACATGTTCCAGACACTACGTCGACGGCCCTCGGCGGTGCCTTCGTCGCTATCCCGTCAACGAGCGGCACCCACGCGGCACATGATCCTTCGCTGCCGTGTGTGATCCCGTGTGAGCTACGTGCGTCTCTCTCTCTCTCTCTCTCGCGACGTAAGGCGGTGTCACATTATTTTTTCGCGATCGGCATAGCGCTCCCCTGATGCCGACGAGACACTTCAAGCAGGATACCCCGGACAGGGCACCTGTCACAATGAAGTTAAAAGCGCTAAACGCATGTCCACTCTGGCCGCCTCAGATCGATATTACAGAGGCGTAACGCGAGATATAAACTGCATGCGGCGTTCGCTCGCGCTCGTCGCTGCAAAATTGTAACATCGACGCGAATGTATATAACGCCCGTCTCGACCTGTGTCCCTCTCTCTTCTCCTTTTTTTTTCTCGCAGCCTCTCCGAGTCGAGCGAGATAATTTTACGCTCATCCGCGTGTTGCGCAATCCCGCAGCAAATTGAGCAAATTACTTTGTTATTCGAGGGAGCGCGACGATTATTAATAATTCGCCGTCCGTGCTCGCGACAACGCTTTTATTTAGTAATGTATATCATCAATTATATCTGTAAAATAATATAATTGTTAAGATATTTATATTGCATATTTATATACTGATTAAGAACAAAATTTGTACTCGTTAGCGGCATATGAATTCTAATTTTTTGTCTTCAAGGTAATTGACAAAGAAAATTAAATGACGTTTAGTCAAATCTGAAAGATGTATATATATATATGTTCAAAAATTGGAATAGATAATTGCGAAATAAATTTCATACGTGGCATGGCAGGTGCGTCGTTGTACCCACTTCGTAATAATTAATCCAGATTTTAATCGGATCTCGAGACGTGCGTAGAACATTCATCGAATCGCACGCCACAGACACGGCCTTTTGAATCCCTATGGTGAAAACTCACCAGAACGCTCGTCGTTGGCCGTGATGCCCGTGATTGGCCGGCGACCGTGAGTCGAAGGTGGTCGAACGCGTCCAGCAGGACCAGCAGAAGCGTCGATCAGCTGTTCCTCCTCGGTGAGGCGCATGCGCCGACTGGCCGGCACTTAAGAGACACACACGTGAACGCGGTGAACGCGCGTGTAAAGTAAACACATGACACTTGGGATCGGCGTTCGGACGACGAGGTGAACGATCGGCCAGGGAAACTCGCTGTTGTTTATGGATTCTCCGGGCTCGAGCTGAGACAGAGATCCGATGCCGCTCGGCAGCAAGCCCAAGTGCGTCAAGTGCGGGACCAGCGAGACCCCACTGTGGCACTCGACCGACGCCGGGAATCTGTGCAATGCCTGCCTGGAGGCCGAGGCGAGCGCGTCCTCCAAGACGGACGAGGAGGACAGGAGCGGCTCGCTGAAGCCCCGAAGGAGCACGCGGATCACGAGGTATTGCAACACGAAGGCGACCGGGCCGCACAGAGTCGTGCCCAAGGGCAAGGGTCGCAGGAACTTGTTTAAGAAAACGGTGAGTTAGGTTCGGAGGATAACTCCTAACGCGTTTTCATCACGAGACGTGGAGTAATATTTCTCGTAAGAACACAAAATCATTTGTATCTTCATGTTTAATCGTCCGCTCGCAGCCGGTCAAGGCGCCCACAGCCACCGCGACTCCGGTCACCAGCAACTTTGTGTTCTACAAGGGCACGTATTTCCAAATCGGAGACGTAGTCTCCCTGCAGGACGTAGACGGCGGTATTTATTACGCCCAGATACGTGGCCTGTTGACGGATCAGTATTGCGAAAAGAGCGCCGCCATTACCTGGCTGTTGCCCACCACAGCGAGGTGAGATTCATTATTTCAACTAACTTTATCAGACTTCAATATCTAAATATTTTTTATATCTAATAATTTTGCGTATTTATCAGCATTTATTCGATGTTAACCGATCAGTCAGGTATTTAATATATCCTTTCAGCCCCCCACCGGAAGAAGGCTTCATTCCTGAGACATACATAATCGGACCAGAAGAAGATTTACCTCGTAAATTAGAGTGCATGGAATTTGTAATGCACGCCCCGTCGGACTATTTTCAGTTGAAAAATAGCCCCTATCCACCTCCGCACACGGAGAAGGGAGCGGGCTACATATGGACGACTTTTAGAAATGAACTGGCCATATCTAAAAAGTGATAATAATTCTTTGTTGAGAACATGTATCGTTAATATCGCTCTAAGCTTAAAATGGCAAGATAATTTTTATATACGAATCACTTTACAGCTTTTTGTCAATATTTCTTTTTAGTCGTGCGTATTATTTGAATTAAGATTAATTAGATCGTTAAATTATGGGAATGTATAGAAGTCAGACTTAATATATGACGATGAAAATATGATATACGTTGCGTTCATAAAGAAAATATATTACCGTTTTACATAATATAGAAATAATCTTACAGAAAACAATACACGTTTGCAATAATGCTATTTTATTTATTAAATATATCTTTATTATAACATTAATGGTTTCCAGTGAATGACTGTGGACATGTCTTTCTTACATGTAACGAAACGCGGAGCTAGACTACTAGACTGGACAATCGAAAAGTTGCCAATACTATTAGCTGAATTCGTCGACCTGATATCTCGTTTTTAATATATTCTCCTATTATACACATATAAAAAATCTACGAAACATCCTCTCTCTCTCTCTCTCTCTCGTCTTGTTCAATTTCTGTTCTCGTTTAGAAATTTCTCGAAATTGGTTTTTTTTTTGTTTTCCTCGTAGCTCTCGTACTTCCCTGCCGGAGGAATTGCCGTGAATTCAAAAGAGATAGTGGTTCATCCGTGGTCTTGGTATCGTACTCTGATATCGCTGAGACGGGATATACGCGGAGGTGGCAGGCAGCATTGGTGCGTTCTCGCTTGCTTGAAGGGAGGGAAAAAGTGTCCTCGGTGCGACGGCGGCGTCGGTTACGCTCGGGATGACAGAGGAGACCAGTCAGCTGGGTGCCAACGAGGTGACGGCTGGTCAGAATTTGAGATCTTTTATGGCTTGCGGCAAGTCAGGCAGCTTCATATCCTTTATTTGTTGCGGTATATTCATGTTCTTCACGGCCGAGACAGCACGCGCGGGCGCTGCTGCGATTCCCGCCTGCACACACCATACGGATGGAAGCAGTGTGGAAAGAAACGGACGAGTTTTGGGTTTAGGGCTCAGTAAATGCGGGGGGGTGGGGCTGCAAACTTTTTTTTTTTAGCTGGGAGCGAAGGCAAATGACGGATGACTACGCACACGGCGTCACGATGACATTTATTATATTCCTTATAAAGCGACATTGCGACATTTACATCATGAAGGCACTCGGCTTATGGCAGCGGACAATTACAAAACAGAATTGCATCGCCATGCGTGTTACGCAAACGCTTACGCTTTATACACAAGCTTTATACAAAGGCATTTTTGCGTTTTTTTTTTGATAAACAAACAAAAAAAAAGGAATAGAAAAATAAAAAAGAACGAGTACGCGGATTTTAGCGCCGGGAGTGCGATTGTACAAAGTGGCCTGATTTGCTACTGCCGATTTACTTAAGGAGGGGGTCCCAGAAGGACAAACGGACGGGGTGAGCAAGACCGTCCAGATTTGTAAGTCCCCTAAAATTGATGTTATGTCGATCAGTCCTACCTGTCACCATATCAGATCGTTGTACCAGTACGCATGCATAGCTAGACGGACTTGCTTAGGCAGTTAACGTTTTTTTTTTTTTTTTCACAAACCCAGTGAGAGAAAATAAACACATATTGCAAAGTCGACTACCGTACTAGCTTGAAACATACATATAACGCAAGCGTTCTATCTGATGGGCATGAGATTTTGGAGATAAAAAAAAAATTGTAGAAATTTATGGGAGCATCGACAATCCTGACTGTGATCTCGCTACTTGCTTTCGTTATACTGACCGTAGCAGTCAAATATTCATCTAAACGATCTAAATCGAGGGTAGAAATTGACAGGGAATGATCACAGTTAAGATAGGCATCGGGATTGCATACAGCGAGCTGCACTTACCTCTTGCTTTTCCAATTTATTCTGATCCTCGATCCTCGTAAGGATCTCAGTCATGTTGGTCTCGAGGACCATACCGCCCATCACCAGCTCATTGAGTATGTAGTGGACTTTGTCCACATGAAAAATGAGATCGAGCTCGCACACGTTCTCGAAGCATTTGTCCAGGGTCTCGACGAAGACCTGTATCAGATCCAGGATCCCCAGCTCCGACTCCGAGCTGTCGACGCAGAACACGAAGTAGAGGGTCGCGTAGTGTCGGTAGATCAGCTTGTAGTCGGAGCCGCCGATCAGGCTGCCGCCCTCCAGGAAATTGCACACGTTGTCGTCTCTCTTCGAAACAAGCTGAAATGTCTCTTTTATTATCTGCTGCTGCATATCCTCGTTCTGAAGCAGAAAATACGTCTCGTGTTGCAACGTGCGTTGATCCATATGCCCTCGGCTCTTCCACCGCGCTCCGCAGTCCGCACGACTGCGACACGCTCGGTGGACGTTTCCACGCGGAATTTACGCCGCGTGGTCGCCTCCGGTACAAATCCCATTAGATCTCGGTAAACAATGGGATTTAATTCGCAGCATTTACGACAACGATAAGCAAGAGAGGCTCAAAGGCGAGCCGCGTCGAGATATACTTACGAAGTACTGATAGAACTTGGAAAGACGAGGTTTCCCATGATTATTAAAGACCAGGATCGCCTTAATCATGTCTGTGTGTAACCGAATGTCAATTAGTGCCGTTCGACCTTACGGTAATCCTGTCGCCACGCTGAGAGCGCACGGTCATCGGTGCGCGAGAGGTTATGTTCTACGACCACGATCGTCCTCCGACGTTTTAATCCTCATTATTTCTCTTTGGCAGGTACGGGAAATCTTCGTTTCGGTATCCGCTAATTGATAATTAATGACGCACGGAGAGGAACTCCGAGGTTAGCTGTCAACGGCTGTCAACGTGTCTGTCAGTGTACGAGCATTGAAAGATGCGCTCCCCCCAGACGATCAGAGTCATGGAGTAGTCTCTCTTCAATCGCCTGCATTCCTCGGCACTTTCTGCACTTGAAAGTTGCGTGCGTTCAGGGACGTGGAAGAGCAACGAGAGATAAGGCGATCGTCCGACCGATCGAGGGAACGTCATTTTGATATATTCATTAAAAATCACACGCACATTTTAATTTCTTTTTATTTTTAGAAATCTTTCTCCTCTTCATCTTCACTCATATTCGTTTTTTTTTTCACTTTAATGAAATTCACCGAGTTAAATTTGAATATAAATTTGTATAAAATGATTTTAGTGAAACGTAAATCGGCGATTAACGTATCGATTAATAACTGTATTGTTTTATTAATATGAGTTTTTATTAACTTTTTATCATTTAAGAAAAATTAGAATATAAAAAAAGTATTTAAATTAGAGACAATTATTATATAGCTTTTTCTGCGAGCAATTCTGCTGAATTTATAACAATTTACATAATAACTTCGATTAATTTAAGAAAATTCTGGAGTCTGTTTATCGGCAAAAATATCATAACATTTAATATTTTCTTAAACAAGTTATACTTCGTATTGAATATTGTAGGTTTCGCAGAATTGTAATTCCTTATGATTAAAATACATATGTTAATTAATATACGTATACGGCTCTGCATGGTCTACTTTTTATCAAACACAAAAAAACAAAGAAATTACGATTAGATTGTTTTATCGACTTAATTAATGGCGACTAAAGTTGTCAATTCATTGAAAAGTTATATAACGTACGTATACATACAGGTCATATAATATATGCGCGATCAAATAATAATAAGGCAGAGTCAGATGTAAAATCAATAAATAAATAATTATATTAAATTGTTAAAATTAAGTTTAGAAGCCTAAAATTGATGAGAATATGTTTGAAAAATTATGTAATGTGTGAGATATCGATGTAATAGTAATGTAATAAGTTGCGTTCATTCATATAAAACAGGCGCGACTCCCCTTAAATAAATTATCGACTTAGGAATTAAGCGATAATTAATATATGTATTATATTAATTCAATGTGAAATTATTAATTTTTTTGTTGTATCACACATATAAAAAAAATTAGAATATACATATTAGGAAATGAATTATATAGGTAGAAAATTATATAATTTCACTTTAAGAGAATACTGGAGAACCAAATTTCATAGCATCGTTATTTTATCGATAATTTGCATATGTATGCATGCGATATTATAGCAGTGTGTATAATATATGCGATTTTTATTATTTATATATTAGGTGCTTTCCATTTAGCGACACAATCAATAATAGTCATCGATACATTAATTATAGCATTATTTTGTCTTTTTTCAACGTTTAATGACAATAACAAAGATCGAAAGATTCTTGTATCAATTGCAAAATTTTTTTTTGCTTTTCATGTCTCTCCACATTTATATTTGCATATTTTTTCTTATTTTGGAGAAAGATTTTTATTCTGCACAAGCATTAAAAAAAAATCGAAAATACGTTGTAGCGCATCGATCTGATCGGTGTATTACAGTATTTTCTTAAACAATTCTTGAATTGTTTAAGAAATCTGATAATTAATCGCTGTTTAATAACCATTTCTACTAATTAGCGACTAACTTTCAATCTCAATTAATTTACTTGCTATCTGGATTTCTACATTTTCTTAGTTGTAAGAATTAGAAATAAAGAGTAATTAAAGTTAATCTACATTCGTAGATTACATTCGTATAGCAATAGATATAAATCGACTATACGTCGTCCGAACTGCATATTTTTTTTATTCTCATATCCTTCCAGCGACTCGCTTTCTGAGCACGTCGAAGGGAAGGAGGGAGCGGAGCGCTACGGAGGTGCAGAAAGTGCAAGCGAGGAACGATCAGCGGAGCTCGCTTCGCCAGTTTCGCCTTCGCGACCCGCGAGACACCCGCGACCGGTTTCTCGCGCTCCACGTCTCCTCCTTCCGCTCGTCAACCGAGCGACGACGTTGCTCGACGACGTGCAATTCGTCGTCGAGTCAGGAAGTCCCTCCGTCTCGCGAGTCCCGCGAGCCGAGACACGGCGCGAAGGTGGACGACATCGCGAGTACTTGCATACACATGCCACAGGAGTCAGCGGAGCGACGACGAATAATCGCGTAGGAACGTGAGACGTGACAGATGTGCTCGCGCTTCGTCCACGCTCGCGGTCGCCGTTCGCCGCGTTAACGCCTCGCGCCCGTCCGGAGCGAAGCCGGTGTGCATTCGAGTGTCGCGGTGGAAAGCAGAGGAGCGAGGAGTGGGAAATAATTCGCGACGAGAGGAAAAAAAAACGAGGCAAGAATCGGACAGGCCCGATCATGGGTCGTCCGCCCGGGTCTGGTCTTATCCGCATCCTTTCGCGCTTCCTGCAGTGTCCGGAGATGAAGTGAGAAGCGACGCGACGCGCCGAAATTCCTTTTGTGCAGCAGGTAGCTGGGAACGGGAAGGACTGAGGAGAGAAGAAATGACGGATCTCTGCGATCGATCCTCAATCGGACGAATCGTGTCTCCAGGTCTGATTTTCACCTACATCACCTCGTGTCGCGATTGACCGCGATTCCACCTAATAATTTCATTGTTGCCATCCCGTTGTCGCTGGTGCTACAGCTGGGTAACGTAAAAAGAAAGAGAAGGGATCGACAGTCCCGCGAAAGCAATTAGCGAAGGTGCAACAATTTTTTTTTAATTAGCGAGATGGCAGAAACGCGAGTGTCGACGACACTCGAGACGACAACGGTACACCCGGCGGGCGAGTCACTCTCGCCGTAATCTTATCGGAAATCGAGGTTACACCACGCCAACTAAACGTAATCGCACGGCTGTAACCGCGAGATTGCGAAAAGTATTACAAAAAAAAATAAAAATCACGCAACACAAGCCGGCGCAAGCGCTCGATTCTTTTCGGTCTCGTGTGACAACAAACGTCGGAAGGAGAGGAGAGCACGGGGGTGTGAGCGACGGCGCGGAAAGAGCGAGAGGGAGGGGGGGAAGGACGAGACGTCGGGGCTAAATGGAATTCTTTCTTCTACTTACCGCCGCTTGCCGCGTACCGCCGTATGACAATCCGCGGCGCGCGATGTACCGATGAGGAGCCGAGGAGCTGTCATTCCACGCGGACGAGGTAGATGGAGAGGCGCCAGATGCGGCGTGACCACGCAGTCATCGCGGCCGAAAGGTGAGCGCGTTTTGTTAATTGTTTACGCGCGTCGTTTGTCACTTCGGCGTATCGCACCCGTAGAGATCGCCGCCGGCCGGGTCAGCGAGTCGATCCTCGCTCGTGATCCGGAAGCACCGACTGGCCCTCCTCGCGGCTGGACCACGCGTAAGTATTACTGGCACGAATCGCGGGATGTGCGGTCGAGATTCGCGAATTATTATTAGATTAGATCACGCTCGCCTTTGATCGCGAGCGATTGATGGCCCGGTCCGGTGTGCCAAGCCTTGGTACCAAGGTCGCGATCCTTTTGTTATTCAAATAATCATGCAAATTGCAAACGTTAGCGGGCAGTTCGGCCTGTGCTTGTGATGCAAAGCGTAGAGAATTGAGTAAAATTGAAAGGGAAAGGTTACACAGCCAGTTCCTGGTTGTGCGCAAATCCTTTTTTAAATATTCGAATTTGAAATCGGCTAAATATAGATGATTTACGATACCGCCGCACACATACCTGGTTACTGATAAGGCTCGATGAATCAGATACTGCTAACCAATAGACGTTCATGGGCACAGCCTTTTTTTTTATGACCTCTGCTACGGCAGTTTTGCCAGCGGTATCTCAAACACACAATATAGCACTTTGCTCGTATCTTAAGCAAATATACTATTTCCTTGCAAATAAATTGAAACTTGGACGAGAGAGGATCGATTGTTGAAGGATATATTTAAGAACTCGAGATAAATCATAATCATTGCAAACACAGTGTTTTAAAGCTGATTGCATTCTCGTGAATCTTATTAGTCCACGTTCAAATTGTAAATGTATACCTGCAAATGTACCTTGCATATAGAAAGGTTTCTTGTAATTTGTATTTACACTGTTCCATATGTTTCAACTTTCAGTTATGCTAACAAAATGCTTATTTGTTTTTAGGAAAATTAATATATGTGTTCATTCTTCCTCTGCACAGATGGACAGAGCACGAATGTTGCCCATGGACCTACCTGCATTCACTGCCAATAGCAATGGCAGTGTTAAAGGCAAGGTATCTTTTGTTCGACGATTGGCAATAGGATTTGTGATTCTGGCCATACTAGGCCTCTTATACGTGCCAGCGTACCACTCCGCGCAGAGTCCATTCTTAAGCTTAAGTGAAACTCCATCCTCTGCAGAACCTCTTGGCAATTCGCGCTTGATAGGCGCCGTGGGTATGCATCTACCGTTTTACATTTCTCATTTGCGATAATGTAATTTTCATAAGCTTTAAGATATTTAGTTGTAGAATAGAATAGAATGTATTCACTTCAGCATACATTAAACCAAGAAGGGGATTTGGTTTACAAAAATATTTGTCACATTCTTCCGTCCATTCTTTTCACTCTATGCTATGTAAAAGCAAAACTGAGAATATAGCTATATAAATGCGTGTTAAATGGTACAGTTAAAAATATTTTATTTAAATTTAGAAATTATAATGAGTGATGAAAGTGACAAACAATAGTTCTAATCTTTGATTGCAATATCTTTAGGCATAGGTTTGATGCAATATAATTATGACTTAGTATAATATAACATAGAATAATTATATTTTATGATACTTAAAGAATAACACACATATGTTTGGTTTTTTATTAACATGATTTAATGGAAACTAACTAGACGCAAATAATTAATTTATAGCACAATTGCCTGGATGGTCATATAATACATCAAGAGATGTCTGTGTTTACATTCATCCAGAGAATAACACATCGATTCTCAGTCCTACCGGCATCTGCTCGCTACCGCCATACCTGCTAATAATAATATGCTCGGCAGTCGCAAATCAGGAGGCCCGTTCAGCTATTAGGAGTACTTGGGCCAATAAATATAACTTAGATAATTTGTACAATTCTACAGTAAAAATAGCATTTTTACTAGGAAAAAGTGATAATGATACACTCAACGTGAGTATATAAGCTTTATTCTTTGTACAGAGAATTGCTTTCGCAGTACGTTTCTACATTTATTGCATTTCTTTCAGAATTTGATTGTTGAGGAAAGTTCCCAGTACAATGACATTGTGCAAGAACGTTTCTTTGATACATATAACAATTTGACGCTAAAATCGGTCATGATGCTGAAATGGGTGACGTCGAATTGTGATCAAGCTAAATACCTCATGAAAACGGACGACGACATGTTCGTAAATATTCCCTTGCTTCTGCAAACGCTGCATTCGAATACGCAAACGGAGACTCTCCTAGGTTCCCTCATTTGTAATGCTAAACCAATACAAGATCCAAAAAACAAGTGGTAAGTATCCTTTCGTTCGTATTAGTGTCGGTCCACAATGAGGATTTTAAGCCCTAAGCAGTCGGAAGATAGACCAATCGTAGTCGAATAACTGAGGAAAATAATCGATTGTAATTGGTCGATATCTTACGGTGTAAGGTATAAAAATTAAGAATATAGCTATATGGTGT